ATTTTTGAAATTGCCTAGAAATATGAGTTTTTTAAAAATCCGTCCTTGGAAAAACAGGAAAAAAAATGTATATGGATCCGATTATTTCAAGATCTGAATCTGGTACCAACATTTTCTTGGATCCACCCATCACTAACAAATACATAATAGTGATACAAATACAACAAATACAAATACATAATAGTGATACAAATACAACAAATACAAATACATAATAGTGTAGTGATAGGTAGTAGCTTCATTCCACTTTGCCCGAAAGATTGCTGAGACAAGAACAAGAGACTCCTACCTCAGCATCAATACCAAAATCAAATGTATGTTTGTTTTCTGCTGGTGCCATTTTAGATCTGAATAAATATGCAAAAGGGAGTGTTTTAAATATGCTGTTTCAGCAAAGATTGTTGAAGATAGGCATGGACGAATCAGTTTCTATAAGGAAACAAGTCATAAATATAATTCCTCGGCAGCGCATAATGCATTACTATGCGTTATTATTAGGCTAATGTGTTATTATTGACTTACCTAATTTTTCCCTTTTTGTAATTAGTTGCAAAAGTAATATAATTATGCTTAGAATATTATTTCCCATTTATTTCAATACTCACAACACTTTAACTTAGTACACATAAATTTTTGTGCAAAAATTGTATTAGGCCGAGGCCTATCTTGTCGTTTTGCAGTTTTACAAAAACAGCTATAAAATGAAGGATTTTATATATAAACAAACCAAATAAAGTTGTTTGTGTAACAAATTGAATACTTTATAGATTTGACCAAGAAATAGATTTAAAAAAAAAATGTTCAAGGTTTGCTTTATATATATATATATATATATATACTTACTTTTTCTTTACTTTCCGTGTCCGGAAATCAGACTTCGCTTTTCAAAAAATTAGCTACCGATATGGCTTTGTCATTCGCTTGTAAAAGATCATCTAATGTGCTAGACTGGTCTAGGCGTGGACAGATCAGCAGATGGCCAGGATCCTGAACAGCACCACACACGCACAAGATGTTTTCTTCGTCTGGCGAGAGAGACCCCATTTCTGCATGTTTGTCTTGCATTTTGGTAATTCGACCCTAATTCGATTTAGGGTCTTCCACACCGTGTAATGAAGGCCTCCACCAGGAGCCAGTTCCTCCCTGGCTGGTATGGGAGGGTTAGTCAACAAGGCCTCCCACCTTGCAACCGATTGCTTGTGAGTGATCCATCCAGGACTCGTGTCCGTGATAAAAAGCTCTTTCTGGACCGAAGCCGTCGCTCTGCAGGATGGTGGCCGTGTAATGGGTGACGAGGGTCTGTCTCTTGCTTAGTCCTTTCTGCGTCGGCAGCGACATCACGTCGGATTGATGGAGGGGCAATCCCTACGATAGGATAGATTTTGTGTAGTGGGGTTGGTTTCAAAACACCCAGTTACAATCCAAGCCATGTCATTGACTGCAATGTCAACCTTTTTTTCATGTGTGTGTGTTTTTTTTATGTGCATTCCATACTGGTGCAGCGTACTCCGCAGCTGACACACTGAGGTTCTGAGGACATTAGGGTTAGCACCCCAGCATCAGCTGGTGAGCTTCCTGATGATATTATTCCTCGCTGAGACTTTACCTCTTGTCGCAATACAATGCGCCTTAAATGTCAGTGTGCGGTCCAGTATGACACCAAGATATTTGGGTGTAGGACAATGCTGAAGACGGTCTCCCCGCCACCTCACGGCCTGCTTCTCTATTGTTTAGGTGAAAGGCACAAACTTGGGTCTTAGCTGGGTTTGGCTTGAGGTGATTTGCGTCATAGTACTGGGAAAGTTCATTTAGAGTCATAGTCAAATTCTGTTCCACCTCTTCAAAAATCCATTCTTGTGCCGCCATACATATATATATATATGCATATATGTATTGAAAATTGCTATACAATATTTTTTATTTAAAATTGGTGTCATATGAAAGAAAATTGTATGTAGATTAATTAAAAAAAACTTTAACACCTTTCATTAAGACAGTTGGGAGTGAAAATTTAAAAACGTACGTTTTCAGGAAAAGCACTTTGCAAATTTTTTTCCCCTTTTTTCAAAACTTTTATTATTATTTTTATTTCATTAACATTTTAAGTTTCATAAAATGTCCATGGTAACGCAATATCTTTGGTAGTTTTCTTTTTAAAGAGCATCTTTAGTAGAAAAACACAAAATCCTGTCACGACCATATCGGACGTTTAAATGAATATTAAAAATAGTTAATATTATTTTTATAACTATGTTTTGCTATAAACTAATTTACTTTTATGACCATTATACAATAAAAAGGTCACTGAGCTTTTGGTATATTTGGTCTTTCTAGAAAAAAATTAAAAAAACTCAAAAAAATAGAAAAAAGTCAATAAAATCCTTTTAAGTTTGTATAACTCCGAAAAAACTTACCTGAGACCCGAAAAATCGTTATGTTTGTATAGAGGTGTGCTTCTTTTGTGTATAAAACATTAAAATATGACGATATTTTAATTTTGGAAATTTTTATGATAGAAATCATAAACGTGATGGTCAGGGACAAGTGGTACGGTCGTGAATTGTCTGGAATAATCTAAATCTTTCCAAACAATCCTTCAATTATACTGTTAGTTATAATATAACTATGTGTTTCAATTGAACTAAACTGTTCAATTTACAATTATATTAAAGTTATTGTCACGACCAAACACACTATAATCCATAAGGCTGGATTGGTCGTGAAAAAAACCGCGATGGTCGTGAAACTTTGGTCGTGAAATTACGTGTTATTTGGCTCTGTTCTGGTGGTAGCCCTGCACCTCATGTTCGAGGATACAAAGTGGACTTCTAGGTTGATCTAGCAATTGAAATATCTTATAAACAAAAATTAACACCATGTCTACTTCATCGAATGACTACGTACGGTCATGGACACACCAAAATTACAAAAAACACAATCTTTCCTTTATTAATCTTGTAATTCCTCGTTTCAACTCGAAACGACCGGCACTACAATCCTGACGTACACCCCGAACTAGTCTCTAAAACCAACTGACTCCATCGACGCCAGGCTTGCCACTGCCGTGCTCCAAAGTTGAAAATTTCCCCCAAATGGTCGTGACGCCAAATCGAGGGACAGACTTATTTTGTCATGGTAGTCAGTCTGCAATGACAATAAAATTATAATATGCTCCTTTTTTGTAAGTTTAATAACCATTGACGACATAAAAATATGGCTTTATATATTTCGGTATGAATAATTAGTCTAAAAACAGCGTGAAAGTTGGAAAATGTACCCTAGGGACACGTCATGGTCGTGAATTTCGAGACTTTAAAAATACGAAAAAAATACCCAGAACCTATTTAAAACTAAATAAATGTGTGTAACATGTTGCCCCCGTCCCAAAAAATATTAAAACACATAATAATAAACTACAAATCCAGTATCTACGAAGTAAAAGGCCAGGGACATGAAAACGTACGTTTTTAAATTTTCACTCTTGGACAGATGGAGGTTTTGGAATGGTTACTTGATCACCTACGTCTCTGTAGTAAAGACACAGTAAGAATTAAACGACCACCCAACAAAGAATTTATTTAATTCAATAAAACAAACAACTCACCACACCAATATTAGATACCAGCTGTTACATGTATGTGCAGATTTTAAATCGTCGTTATTCGTTTTCGTTAGTTCATAGATATAGATATTGTGAGGCATTAGAGTAAAATAAAGTAACATATAGTAGACTCCCTCTTATCCGGAAACCTTTTAACCGGACTACACTCAGTAGAAGTGACATCTCTTTATCTGGACAATTTTTATCAGCACATTGGTTTAACTGGACTAGATCGGCAGGAAGTGGGCGGTACTGATAGGACTATTCTTGTGGAAAAGATTTGAGACCAGTTATCATGTGTCTAAATACAATGAACTCATAAATTTAAGTCAAATACTGTATACAGTATGCATTTAAACAGTCAGATTTAACGAATTTTTGGGGACGTTGGTTTAACCGGAAAACTGTTAGTCCGAATAAGAGGGAGTCTACTCTATGTGCTTTTTTTAATTTTATGTGACCTTACCTAGTTGTAATATCACCTATCTACATCACCATGACGACAAACATGACCTACCTATGCCATTTCCGGTATCACATTGTTTCCAGTCTGATGATATCACAGGATAAGAGCCTGATAAAACAAGGTATTTACTCAAGGGAGGTATAGAAGAGCCTTCGATGACGTCAGCTGTCAGATCTCCTCTTGGGGGAACACCATTACCGCAACGATACGGAATTCAGTCATCGGCCTCGGTGGTGTAGTGGATAGCGTGTCGGGCTGATAATCCGAAGGTGCCGGGTTCGAATCTCGCTGGCAGCACTAACTTTTTGTCAACAATTTTTTTTTCACATCAGCAAGTTTGGTTGGTTTGGTTAGGTTATGACAGTTTAACTTTATAATTAAAAAATTTAAAAAATTGAATTTTAGGCATTTATAATTTTATTTTATGAACAAAACTATATTTTAGATTAGTAAACCTTTATTTGATTTGTTTCATTATCAGCACGTTTGGTTAGGTTATGACAGTTTAATTTAATAATTGCACAATTTTAAGATTAATTTTATAATTTTTCCTAATTTTATAATTAACTAGGGCTAATAGTGAAGTAAAAGTTACTACTGTGCTCTCTACTACAATGCTGTTAACGGAGGAATTTTAAACTAAACTATGATGTCACCATCGCCTCATTTGTACTTTCCTTAAGTCAGACCCAAAAAACAAACTTTATTCGCTAATCCAGGAAATAAAATAAACTCAATCAAGAAGTCATTTATATTTAATTACATAAGTTGATTCTTTGTGTCAAAATTGTGGGCGACTGGTAAGTCGTAGAACGACGGAAGAGGCTTAAATAAAAGGTCTCTATCCCATGTCATGAAAAATAGTGAAATTACCAAAGTTCTACTTAGGCTAAGGTTTCCTTTCTTTTGGCATACTATGGTTGCTGGTTGCAGGTGGTGGGCCACAAGAGGGTGGTTCTCTACTCCCCCTCCGACACTGACTGTCTCTACCCTCACGAGGGCCGGCTACTTTCCAACACTGCAAGGGTAGATCCTGAAGCTCCTGATTACAAATTGTACCCAAAGTACAGGAATACTCAAGCTATCACTTGTCAGCTAAATCCAGGTAAAGCAATAATCTCAAAGCTAGATGTGAAACTTTGACATGAATGTTATGGAATACGTGACAATTTCAATTAATTAACCATATGGTTGTATTTGCACGAATGTTTAGCTTAACCACTTTGTAATTACGTCTTTACGATAGCTAGCCACTGAACGGTATTTTGAATTAAATAAAATACGGTAAACCACTGTCTGTCATGAAATATTATGTGTCAATTTGTCTTTCCATTGTAAAGAATCACTGGAGCCTACGCTGAAATTTCACGGAAAGATACCAGTTGGTGTATCACCTAAACCAGGAAATTTCCCTTCCAGTTAATTACGGCATTAAGGACAACCACAAAACAGACTTGTGGTGATAGCGGTTCTGCTCCAGTTTGTAGAGATATCACAAAGGTTCCTTTTACTTACAAACTGTACATTTTATTCAATAATGTACCTTACGTTCTGAATAGCGCTTGTACTGTCATCATGTCTTAAGTTGGCATTATTATAAAAATAAAAGGACTGAATAGAATTCAAACTGAACCCTAATATGTATTTTTTGCAGGAGATATGCTGTATATTCCACCTACTTGGTGGCACCATGTGAGGGCCTTGGACCTCAGTTTTTCCGTCAGTTTCTGGTGGACTTGACATTAAAAATATTCTTTTACTTCGATTTTTGTTGTATTATTTGAATTTATGGTTTCTACTCTATATGATTCCCAATTTAATGTATATAATGTGAATAAATATGAATTTTTCCATGATATGATGTTTTACTTTGGGCTATAGTTACCGCTACCTCAAAACTTACCATTAACTTTTCAGTTACACTAACAATGCGTACCCATTTTAAAATTATGTTTGATGTAGTTTTCAATTTTCTCATATACATTTTATTTTACTCTACCCCACAGATAAACTTAAACACAAAGGAAATAGAATATTTTGACTGCCAAGTGGTAGCTTGCATTTATTTTAATATCATATAGTATTTAATTGATTATTGAAAGTACGTAATTATCAATAAGCATTAAAATTAGTTCTGAACTTGAGCGTATTCCAATCAAAGTGATACAATGCAGTGATAGTGAAGGACGAGTTTAGAATCAAGTGATAGGCCTACAACTTGTGTAGCTAGCAAGGAACATTTATTGAAAACCCAATGAAATATCAAAAAATTCACGAAAACAATATTTTCTCCATATGCTAATTACTGTATGGAAAGAAAATCAAAACTCAGTAGCTATTGAAAGGGATAGCAATGAAATAAATGTTAGGTACATAACATTTTTAGGTGTAATTTATTTTACAAGAACAATACAATTTTTAGTAACACTTAATCTATAAATCACCACTGATTAAGATTAAACTTGTCAATACAAAAATATAGTTGAAACAGGACATATTCACAATATTTACAGTGAAATGTCTATTGTTTGTAAACTTTCAGGTCAAAACTTGTTTAAGGTTTATGATTTACGATAAAACAAAATTAATTACAATAAAAGGAAAGGAATGAATAAGTGAAATTTCCTTACGACTATCATACTATAAATCTGTTTACCGAAACAGAAATTCATCAATATACCTTAAAATAAAATTCAGTTCATTTTTTATAAAAACAGTAGGCCTAGTATCGTCATAGATAAAACATACCCTTGTGTTGCTTAGTCTATGGTATCATCTACAATCCAGCAACCAATACGGTAAAATCAGGTAAGGCTGTGAAGCACAATTTATTACAGGAATTGAATTTCACCTTACTCTGTAATAAATAATCATTTAAAAAGAAAAAAAAATTAATTCTATAGGTATGTTGTTAGGTGTGTCATGCTAATATAGCGGAATATGCTGGTCCGCAATCGCGGAGGGTCCCCGGTCCAAAGGAAGTACATTCTGTAATTTGTTTATAATGGATTTAAAAATCCACATCATTTTCTTATGTATCTTTACCCTGTTGTAAAGCAACTAGTTTGAAATAATACTATGATTGGAATATAGTTTATGACAACAGTTTGTTATAAAAATAATTAATGTAGCCTATAATATGCACCATAGATTTGCTACTTAATTAAGTTTTACTAGTATTCTAGTGGGAAGTTATCGGACACATTATACAAAATTAAACTTAATTACAAATCAAATGTACGTTATTAGTTATTAGGTCCAACAACACTTTTACTTTTAAACAAATTCCAAATTAAATGTTTTCAAGTGTTGAGGCAAGTTGAGTTTTTAATTAAACTGGTGTGCAATCATCAAAAGGAAGTTAATGAATGAAACCTACGGAATTTTAATAACCAAATCACCCTATAATCTCAAAATGACAATAAACTTAACATTAAGATTAATAGATAACTTGTTTTATTTGAACCAGGTAAAACAACACAAACAACAAGAAGCAATGAACATTATATGAATATTTCGTGTAAAAAATTAACCAGTATTTGAATAATCACTCTACAGATAATATACACATATATTTCCTGGCATGACAATTTAAATTGATAATCAAGAGCTTATCGGAAAGGACCAGATCATACAAAATTGATTTTTGTTTGGACGAACAACTATCCGTTGTAGTCAAAATATTTATTTCATTCGTATTGTCTTATTGAAAGTGATTTCTTGGTTTTGGTGCTTCATATTTTGGACTACGGATGAGGAGGCAGAAAATTATTTCAATTTAGTATTACAAACTATTTGGGTTCAAAATCAACATTATAAATAAGCTACTTAACATGCAAATTAGTGCTTCAATAGTATATTACATCTCATCGCAGTATCGTAAACACCTACTTTGGTGAAGGGTGTACAATACTTTTTGCCACATTACCAATCACAAATATACAGGGCGAGTAAACACAACTTAGTTGTACAATACAACACTGTTTAATATACATTATTTATATACAATTTTCTAAAAAAAAAATCTTTTCAATACTTAAGTATTATAGAAGTGCAATGTGCCCGTAAAAAAATATCTATCATATGTAGGTTGAGAGCCTACTGAAGAAATATAATGTCTTTTTGAAGCAGTGCGTTAAGGTGAATTAACCAAACTTCAGCTAATTTTATTGAACCTTTTCTGTTTAGACTTCTGATCTACAACTTACACACAAAGAAGCTACTTAATGTATATTTTAGTGAAAATTATTTTACCCTGGTGACATAACAGCTTGTATCCTCTATGCCGTCACATAGAGGTACAATAATGATAACTGAAGTAAACTTAGTCACAGATTTTTAAATTTTTTGACATTGAATTATTTGACATTGAATTTTTTGACATGAATTGTGTATTGATATCTAAAATTGTAAAATACCATTAAGTCTACTTGAGCAAACAGAAATTTTACTGCTTATTTGACATAATAAAACACTTTAGCCTAAATCGGTTTACTATGATTTTGTGTCTTGTAAATATAAAAAGATAACGAGTGGTCATGGTTACACTAAATTGTAACATTTGAATTTATGTTTTCTTTTCTCCTGTTTAGTGACAGCATTAGTAATATGTGCCTATAAGTGTTCAGCTTCCCATAATTTGATAACATTACCTGCTAGGTTTATTTTTGTAGATTTATTTTTTGTTATTGAATAAAGCATTCTGTTTATATTCAGTATAAATTTCTTAACAAAAATGTTCATGTCTGCCTAAAAGATTTTCATGAAGTAATTGACGAGTCAAAGTGATAAATGTTAAACTTGTAAAATCCGAAGGTAACATGAATATTATACAAAAAAAAATATATACATATATATCTAGACATTGTTGCAAAAATGCTAAACCCTTTACAATCCTAAATCAATAAAATTCTGGTGCAAGCGTTTGGTCAAAGTTGAATAAAATACAATATTTATTTAACAACATTAATTTATAAAACTACTTATAGAAACCGAAATAAAACAATTACACACTTAAGAATTATTTTATCCAAACACACTGACTGTATAGTTCACTGACAAAAGTTTTTGTAAATAATATAAATAGCCAAAAATAAAGAAAAAAATGAAGTTTCACCTGAAGTAGAGGGGTGAAACTTAAGTGAAATCAATCTCGCAAACACAAACCATTTACAATTGAAGGAAGATTTTAAATTATATCCAGGGCGATTATAACGGAAACACTGCTTTACTTAATTTTTATACCATTCTTTTTACCACGCAACATCATATGATTTGATTTGGCGTTATCGGGATAGCGGATTACCAATGCAGTATCTTCCATAGGAAAATTTTGTGGGAACTTCTTCATAGCCAAAGCTGCCATTTTGGACTCGGTATAGTTGACAAATGCACAGAAATTTTGATGCTGTACGATAATTTCACCTTTAATCTTTCCATACCTAAAACAAACACAAATTCCTGTGGTACAGACACCAAATATGATGACAACACATCATGCATAAATTTAAATTAAGATGCAAGAATGATGAGTGCTATATGAATTATGAGCAGTGATACTAGATATTCCAGCTAATTCTTGGTGCAGAATTATTTATTTAAAAACATTGGCTTTTTAAAAACATCTAGTAATAAGCATGTAAATAAGGTCCGAAGGTTTTGAAAGACTGGTCTACTTAGAATAATTTTTGAACGTACAAGTGCTCAACGAACCAGCTGGTTCACACCTCTGAAACATTTAAATACTTCATATGATAAATTATGCTATGAGCCACTTAATCACTAAATTGCACAGTGCTTAAAACGTTGTGTAACTTCATCTGGGATTGTTGATCGTTGTTTTAGCGAATTTCCCTATAGGGAAGTAGCTATTACCGTAGGTGGCACGGTAATACCTAGACCCGGGACCGATTTCCTTTTTCATTTTGATGTCCCCAGAGGCCAAAAACACCATTTGTTCAAATTTTTATATATGTATATATATATATATATATACGTCCGTGAACGCGATAACTTGAGTAATTTTTGTCCGATTTTGATGAAATTTGGTTTAAAGGTGTAAAGCGGGATAAACTTGAATGAGTTCGCGAACCAGCATGATCGGACCATGGGAACGGGGCTTTACGGGGGGTTTTATGGGGTAAAAATTGGTTTTTCTCACTTTTGACCCTCAAAACACAAAATTTCCCAATTTCTCTTTAGACCTTTTTAAAGAGCTTAAAAAAACAAATAATTTAGTATATAAAAGTATTTTTGTTCGGTTATTAGTAACGGAGAAAATTAAAAAAATTGTAAATTTAAAATTCCTATGTTATTCTTAAGGAGAATATTGTTAAATGTTGTAGTTTGCTTGTTTATGGATATATTTTGATCAAACTTGGCAAATTTATTTATTTTGTACTAAGCTATCAATATTTTACTAAAAACCACAATTTATTAGTTTCCTTGTAGCAGCAAACCTAGGTACTCGTTAAACCTAATGTTATTAAAATATATTTAATTGAAAATCAATTCAGACAAATGGAAATTCGCTTAGTCGGCAGGTTTGCTGCGGCGGGGGTATTTTATTTACTTACAGTAGGCTGATCCATGATACTTTCCCTATCAAGAGAAAAAAAAAATATTTGGAGTTGGCTTTGAGCGAATTCCCCAGTCATGGTAAGACAGCTCCAGGACAGATTTACTTTTTGTATGAGGTACCCAGAGGGAAAAAATACCATCCATTCAAATTCTAACTTATTCTTATGAAGAATAAGTCAACTGTATTTTGTTTGTTTATGGGTATAGTTTGATCAAACTTAGCAAATTTATTTCGTACTACGCTATCAACATTTTACTGAAATAACACACTTTATTACCTTCCCTGTAACAGCAAACATAAGTAGACTACTCATTGAACCCAATGTTATTTAAATAGGAAATAAATCTGACAACTTTAAGGAAATATTCAAGTGAAAACCCAACCGGGCTTAGTCAATTTTTTTGCTGTAGCGGAGGTATTTAAATTATCCAAACTCCAGAAAAACTTGTACTGGTGAGAAAACATTTTAGGCAAATCCACTCAGCTGATACACAATAAGTTTGGTACTATTTCCAATAAACACAGATAAAAATAACTCCAACATAAAAAATAAAATAAGAATTTGTTATACTTACTTGCTAAATATGGGTTTAAGTTTCTCCTGTGTTATCTTCTTTGTAACATTACCAACCCAGATGGAGCTGCTATCAAATGGATTGCTAGGGCTGAAAAAAAATCAATTTGTAATAGTATCTTGTTTTATTGTTATCCGCTGATTCTTACTGAACGACTATTGATCAAATAAATCCTTAGCACCATAAATGTTACAAACATCAAATTGAAGCAAATTGATTCTTCACAAAAAAAAAATGTTAGAAAAATTAGGTACAGTCACAGAAGCTAAATTATCCGGGGTAATTGGGGGAGGGAGACCAAGGATAACTGAAAACCACAGTTGATCAAATACAGTGTAAAAAAATACTTACAGCAAAACCCAGAGTACTCATGTGCGAGACAATTGGAAACTGGGAATGGTTTTTAATGATAAGAATAACCAGACAATCAGACATCAAGATTATTAGGCTACAAGTTTTTTTAAAAACTCCACTAGTGAGAGTCAAATATTGAAAAACATAACAAGAATTACTTCGTTTTTACTGAACTACGAAAAGAGTGATTAAAAAAATGAGGGTGTATAGAAAATTTTCTTCATAGAAATTGCAGAATTAACTCATGAAAATGTGTTGTGTATAACATATTGATTTACAAGTTGTAGTACAGTCACAAACATGATCAATTATAAAGTTAAGTAAGTTAGACTTCCCTAGGATATACCTTTAGATGTGACAAATTTGGAAAGTGGTGGTTTTGCCTCAGTCCAAAATAAGCCTGGATGTCACCTGAAGTTGATGTTTCATTTGCGTAATTCAAAACTTGGCAATAATAAAACACATGTGTCTACCGAATTTAGTCAATTTCCAACTACCACCTAGCTGTAAATCATTATATGGTTTAAAACTCGCCGTGCAAGAGCTTTAGTAAGTGACTGTACTTACTCGGTATATGGGTCGTATTCATTGGCCTCTACAACTTTGGCAGCTGCGCCTGATGTTGATGGTTCGTCAATTTCTTCATCAGAATAATAGATGTCATTCTTATTATAAGAATTGGCACCATTCAAACCTCCTATTTCCAAAAACCGCTTTGCTTGCTGAAACGTAAGCATAAAATTAACAAGTTTAAAGCATTTATAAATTTATCTTCCATTTTAAACGTAACCAAGTCAAATTGAGGGGTTTTATTAGGCATAATTACAGGGTATCCACACAGTAGCCTATAATTGTCTAGTAAAAAAAAAAAAAACATGTAAATATACCCCGTGTACTGGGTCAAATAATCAAACTTTATCCCCAATGTCAAAATGTAACTAGAGATAAATTCCACAGTTCCAATGTTAAATTGCACAGATCGTGGATTGAGGGTAGAGAAAGAGTAGTGAACCAATCAGAATAGGAAACCTAGACTTCTGCGCATCCAGTTGGAGTGGGTAGCCGACAAGAATGTATAGTGGTAACTCTTTTAGCCTCAAAACCATAATTTTTTCAAGTTTTGAGGTGTTCACCTATTCCTTCTACCTTACTACTAAATTTTAACACGTTGAATGCGGCCTACTGCTATAGCAGTAGCGCGGCACTGGCACTGCTCGCGGCCTACTGCTAAAACAGTAGTGTCCTCGCCCGCCAAATATTGCGTTTGTCTAAACCCAGCACTTGGCCGGCGCCAATGTGATTGTTGCCAGGCTGTAGCTTAGAATACGAGATTTATTTTAGTGTAGGTTGGTACTAAACATTCCTGTAAAATCCCGTCTGGCAATGCTTTTGTACCGTTTTCGGGGATTTTCTCTATTCGAGCCATATTACAAAGACTGGTTATTGATCCAGGCAGTGCTGCTACCTTTGGGTGTTTCAGTGAACTACGTCCACTTTCGGGATAATGCAGAACAATCACCACTGCTCTTTTGTGATTCGCCTTACTGAGATATTTCAATGCCAATAGAGATCGCTGATTCAGTAGCGTGCCGGGGCTCCGCCCGCAGTTTAGGGAGCGCCATAGTGGAGGTTTTCAGCAGTCAACGTGTTAATCAAAATCGTTCAAACAGTTTTTTGTGAAAATCCAATTTTTTGTTATTATATGGGTTTTTAAGAAAATCACCATTAAAAATAAAAATTTAAAAAAGTGCATAAAAAAACTTAAGATATTACAAATTAGAACCTGCGGACCAAATTTCATAAAAATCTGACTACAGGTATAGTATGTTCTGTACACATCAACACACACAGAATCACTTCAAAAACCACTTTTTGGGTTCATGGGGAACCCAAAACAGATGTTTCCACCCCCAACTAAAAAATGTTGAGGAAAACAATACTTTTTCCATACCACTAATGTTCCTTCATCACAAAAACTAGGCTTGATCTCTTCTTATTGTGGCCTATTGTAATAAACAAATTGAATGTTTTTAAACAGTTAATGCAGTTGCTGTACTTACAGATGTATTGTATTCATTCAGCTGTAGTGCCCGAATAGCATCATGGACAGAGTATTTGCCATTTTTGCATAGCAGCATTATCTGCACTTCTGAAAGTTGGAATTTCGCCTCTTCACATTCGGGGTCTAATTTTAAAATTTCATTTAACACAGTCTCTGCCTCCGTATATTTCTAAAGGAGGAAAACATTAAAATAAATGCAAATAAATAACTAAACTAAATAGTATTTTTGACAATTCTATTGAAAACGTAGACTACTATGAAAGAAAAGATTCATGTTCTATATCTGCATCAGCTAAAAGTAGCAAACAAAATGTGTTAATTGTTATCTTTGGCTACCCAAACTTAGAAAAATATTGAAATTGTGTGATTTTTATATTGTTCTTTCTAAATAGTAGCTAAGTCAATTATTATGTTACCAACGCAAACACAAATTTAATTTTTTAAACATCCAAGGCAGAGGAAATTAAGCTAAGTATTATTTTCTAACTATTAAATTCATGCTCAAGTATTACTTAAATGCTGCATTTTTATTAAAGAGCAGGCCTTCCCTCCTACCCATAACATGTATGTTACCTACCTTAAGTTCTATATAAATTTCTGCCTTCCTAAAATAACCTTTAGAATAGGTTGTAAATTCTCTTGTCATATATTCTGCTTCAGATAATGCTCTGAAAATAAAAGGTAATTATTGAGATATGGTTGCAGTAAAACTAAATACAGGTACAGTAGACCACCTCTTAACCGCCCTCGCATTATCCGATAATCGCATTATCCACCCTTGCTCATAAAATATTACAGTTTGTTTTAACCGACCATGTTTAAAGAGCAATTCAGGTTAACATTACTACTACTTAATTACTAATTAAACAGCACACATCCAAACAACAACTTCATCAAGTTATTTCAAGACAAAAACATTTTGGAAGAAGTGAAATTCGAAGACATCAACCCCAAATCAAGCAAGTGGGTCTTACACATCAGCACCTACACATGAAAGGTACTATAATCAAGTTACTCAAGAAGATCTCATGAAAAGCCAATATCGAGACAAACTGAATGAACACAACTGTAAGTTATTACAAATTTAATATCAATAATAACATTTACCTCAAGAATTCATTGAACAGATAGGTAGCTTGTAAACATTGTATAGTTTAAATTTTACATTCAGCAGTGCCCAAATTCTGTAAATTAAACTCTCCAAATACATCAAAACCACTAAAGCACAATTAATATTAAAAAGTACAAACAAAGAAATTTCACCAATATAATTGTGACAAAGCACCAAACTGACAACTAAGCAGTGACGTCATAGCCAACTCACAGATTGACACATTCTTCACTTCCAACACGACACCTGCTGCCCCGGAGTGTTCGAACTGAGAGTTGCTGACTGCACGCTAAGCAAACTGACCAAGGACACTGCCACTTCAAACAGTGTCTACAACATACTCCCAACCAGTAATACAGTGCAAAGCTGTATTCTTCATCACTATTCATACATTTTTGACAAAGCAAATAAATTTATTCATTTATTTAAACATTTATACACAATCATTTTTTTCTAATTGACAGAAGCAACCAGCCAAAGCTTGTCTAAAAAACTGTACAATCTTTATCACACAACATTTTCAATTTTCAACAGAAGCAACCAGCCAAAGCTTGCCTAAAAAACTGATTACACAATATGTTTAATCTTCAACAGAAGCAACCAGCCAAAGCTTGCCTAAAAAACTGATTACACAATATTTTTAATCTTCAACAGAAGCAACCAGCCAAAGCTTAAGCCAAAAAAGTTCCCAATCTTTATCACACAACATTCTTTAATTTCAACAAAATTCTCAAGACTTTATTTGGACGAAAGCAACTTAACTATGTCAATGAACAAAACAAAAGTTTCAAAATATCCCTGTGGTGAATGCAACATCGGTGTAAAATACTCCAGTATAAAATGTACTGGTCCATGCAACTCCTGGTTTCATGGTGGGTGTGTCAATATCACAGAAAAACAATTGAAAAACCTTTCTAAAGAAGACATTTCCTTATGGAGGTGTAACAATTGTAGTGATCTTTCCCTCACCTCTATAAAGCCAGCGTTACAACTAAAAGAAAGCCAAACTCCCACACCTCCAAATCAAATATCCTCTGAAAGTCAGGGTAACAAAATGGGCGAGGTAGAAAACAAAATTCTAGAACTAGAAAATTCAGAAGATCCCGATTTAGAAACTTCTCTGACACTTGCAGCAGAAAATAAATAGTTCTGTAGTGACAGAACATCCACAGCATTATCTCATAGTTTTCAGATAAACATTCACCTTCAAACTATTGTCTTCTACGTAAATATTAAGTTATCTCCTTTCTAAAATAACACTTTCAAATATTGCTTGGAGATATTTCAATCCAGGCCTAAACGTTTTACATACTGGTGGACAATGCACAAATACACACCGAATGGGTTATTTTTACATTTGAATTAAATAACAATTGATACAGAGATATTTTTTAAAGGCTAAGTAAAGTGCAAGAACAGCATAAGTAAGAGATACAATAGAATACTTGTTTGATCCAAAGATAGAAGAATCAACATTTTGATCCCAAAGTATCATCAATAGGCCTATCATAGTTTTCAGCGTCTTTACAAGTTTCCTCATATATAACTATTTTCCATCCATTTAAATAGTTTCCATTTAATTAGGCATTAGTTAGTTTCCATTTAAATAGGCTATTTTAGAGAATTTTTGGTCAAGAATTATTTGATATGTAGAGTTTAAAAAATCATTCCTAATATTTTAGAAACAAGGAGTTGATGATTTTTGTTGTTCTTTATTTAAAGATGTTGGCAGCCACGTTTGACCTAGCATTTGCCCGTTCACAGAGACTATGGGCGTGGAACGTATCAAAGCAAGGGGTGAACTGTACTGATAAAATGTTTGTATTTGTGACCAGGATCCAAACCGACGACATTGCTGTCTTGGGCCTGAGCTCCGTGACACTACCAACTGAACACCACCACTACCACTCTGTTATGTTTTATCACTTGTTTTGTTGATTGCGGTTGTCATTTTTGCCATCTTGTTGCCGTTTCTCATTTTCGTTTTGTTTATTGACTAATTCATTGTTATTGACTTACCATTGTATAACTAGTAGTAAGCAAGTCTTGTGTGTTATTTCATAAAATTGTTCCAAAATATCAAAATGGAGTTGTCCGTTGGAATGTAAAATAAAATCAAATGAAATAAAAAACACCAACTGAACCACCAACTCACAAATTAAATAATGAAACTGTAAAAAAATCCAAAAATACCATCTAGTTTTGAGTAGGCCTAAATACATAGGCTATAAACTAAAATAGTTCCCTATGACTGACTGCTTTTTAAATTGGTGGATGAGAAAATAAGGTAAAAACTGTTTATGTTAGTTAATTAATTTCAAAGGATTTGGTAACGAAACTGTGACTCAGAATTACACCTTTTTGTTATTGAGACACATTAGGTTTTTTTACGGGGCAATATTTGCAAGATAAATCCTTAAATTTACGGAATATCAAAATGTTAAGTAGGCCTACAATAAGATAATAAAATGAGCAGTTTTACCTTTTATAATCCTGTAAACGAAAGTAGCAATAGCAGCGGTTATTATACAAACGGGCATCTCTAGGGAACTTTGTAATTGCTTTGTCTAAGATGGATACCGCACCCTTGAAATCCCCGAAAACAGCTTTTTGGTAAGCCTGATTGCCCAGCTCCTCCACACTACTCATTGCTGCAAGGTACCTAAAAAAAAATACAATTTAATAAAATATATCTTTCAAGAAAATTTTAATTTATCCATAGGCCATTAAATAATCAAATAAAACATATCCAAGTTTAAAAAGTTATGTTAAAATCTAAGGTTGTGGACTTGGTTGAATACAAATGTTAATTATGCCCTATATTGGTGACAAGGAATTATTTTGGGCACATAAGCCCTAACTTAGGCACACACACAAGATGATCGAATAAACCACAATCAAGAAGTCTAACTATCAACCTATTCATTCAACACCACAGCAACTCAGCAACGATGTTACAAATCTTAACTGACATTGTTTTTTTATTGAGTTGTATAACATTGGAAAGGAAGAGCTTGAGTTTAAAAAAATTATGGGACAATAACATAGCCCATGCGACACAGCGCCAGTGGTAATCAATTTTTTCTAACCTATATAGACCTAATGAAATATTTTTAAACCTTTTAACGAACGCATACAGTACTTTGGCAAAAAGGATCTGTGAAACCCAGGGATGGATTTACAAAAGTCTGCCACCCCCTGGCACTATTTTAACGGCTAACTTATATACAATCTATTAACACTTCCCGGACGGGCGAAATCGTGACATAGAATGGGAAAAAATTATAGGAAAAAATAAAAATTAATTTTTGTTATTTGTGTTTTGTTATACAACTATGCATAAAATAAACACAATGGAACACTTCATACTGTCAAAATAATTTTTTACTCGTTTTTAAATAGCCTATGCGGATATATCCGCTACCCGTCCGCGGATGAGTAGAAAAGCAGCGGATATATCCGCCACTCCGTCTTTGAAGATATGACCATGACAACATTAGTCAACAAATAAAGAACAATATGTAAACAATAAATAAAGACAACGTAGTGTTGAGCGCCAAACATCGAGGGGAGAGCGTAGGAGAGGTGGGTGGCACGCGGGAGAGGGGGAGGAATGGGAGAGGTGTAGGTGCGGGAGAGAGGGGGTAGGTGCGGGAGAGAGGGGGGAGTGCGGGAGAGAGGGGGGAGTGCGGGAGAGAGCGCAGCCATGGAGAGAGCAGGAAAGTGGCACCTTGGTACCGCGAAACATCTGGTTAATGCTCTAGCACCTGCCAGTCTGTCTGAAGAGAAAACTGATATATCCGCTTCCCGTCCGGAACATCAAAAACCATAAGCGGATATATCCGCCACCTGTCCTTTATCGCCAAAGACTTAGGCGGATATATTCGTCACCCGTCCGGGAAGGGTTGAATAACATTAGGTTTACAATGAGTACCTAGGTTTGCTGCTACAAGGAAACTAATAAAGCGTGTTTTTTGGTAAAATATTAATAACTTAGCTTAGTATACAATAAATAAATTTGCCAAGTTTCATCTAAATATATCCATAGACAAGTAAACTACAACATTTTGGAAATATTCTCCATAAGAATAGGCCTAACATAAGAATTTTAAATTAAATTCTTTTTTATTTTCTCCGTTACCAATACCTTTGTTAAAAATTGAGTATGAGAATTTTTGAATTTTGGGATAGGCCTAGTTCCCGCGGTGGCCACTAAGTAGACTATTGAAAGCGTGCGGCCAAGTAGCTGACTGAGATCTAGAGAGAGAGTAGCACGGCCGCGGGAGGCTCATTTCTGCGGCAAAATTCCAGTCTGACTATTCTCGTAAACATTTCGCTTCTTAAAGGGTTTGTATTCATTGGCTATATAATTCATTCTACCAACCACGAACACTGTCCATAACTTAGGACATGGCACCACCATTTTCTTATATCCGAAGCTCATTCATTTTGATGTAACCAATGCATATCAAAATATCTCTAGGCCTTTTTCAATTCAATTAAATTTGTTTAAGTTATTTAGGCCTACGGCAAAAGTCATTTTACAATAAATAGGACCATAGGCCCTACATAAAAAAATGCAAAGCAACTTAATTTACAATTGTAAAAGTACATGCATGCTCACACAAGATTCAATTTAAGCGCTTGAAACATAATAGCCTAAATAAGAAGTACAGTAATTATAAATAGCACATGCATAGCAAATAAAAAATAACTTAGGCTAGGCCTAAATACAAAACCAGAACAATAATTGGCAATTAACCCTTTGAGTGCCAACGTCCGGGGAACCGGACGTTTTTAAAATGAGCCAAAAGTGCCGACGTCCGGCCGACCGGACGTTTTTAGAACGAGCCAAAAGTGCCAACGTCCGGCTGACCGGACGTTTCGTAATGATCGAACAGTTGTCATAACAACCGAATGGATACTCGGATTCTTTTAACCCATATATTAACATTGAGTTGAAAGTTACTAGATGCGATACATCGATTTTCGTTGGTCGAAATATCAAAAATTAGATTTTTACGAAATTTTAACCTAAAAATCGCCAGATCGCGCTCGGCATTTTTAGCGCGATCTTCGGGAAAAATCATCGGCATTTTTTGAGCGTTACTTTTATTTCTCGCCTGGCACTCTAAGGGTTAACTTAGCCCTACTTAGACAAGAATGGTGGTTTTAAATAAGAGCAGAAGTAACATTCGCATTCGGGAGATATGGCCTTATGGTTTAATAAATGACTTATTCAAATTCTTAACCCTAAACTTTTTAACTAAGTTACCAAACAGACCTTATGCAAACAGAAATGTGTGTAACTTATAGCCTAAGTTATTTAGGCCAAGACCTTCCATGATTAAACAGGTGTGTGTAAAATAACTTATCTGAAAGTTTAGGCCTACGCTTCTACTATCTCGGCTACTAATTTATATTTGATAATTAGCACATATCATGGACATATTGTGGGACCTATTTCAAGGTAACTTACTTCAGAGTTTAAAATGTGTAGATAAGTTAGGTCTAAAAGACATAGGCCTAGGCCTAGGCCTCCTAGGCTTATGGTAACTTTCAACACAACAAAACATCAAGTTGGAAAAAAATCTTTAGGGATTCATATGGTTGCAGGTCTATTCCAATATGTGAATGTGAATGCATAGTTACCTAGTCTAAGGATAGTTAGCAGACCTTGAAATAGGGTTTAACCCAAAATGTAACATAAGGGCTGAATGAAAATGGTAATTCTTTAAGGAATTTAATTAAATTCGGGGTTAATATTTACCTGTCTTTTGTCTCTGTTTAATGCTCAAATCCGCTGATACTAGCCTAGTTGAAATGTGTTTGTACCATCTACAAGCTTTTAGAAAATCGTATGTATGCCACCAAACAAAAGAAGTTTTGACAGATCAACTCGACTCGAGACTCGACAGCGCGTCAGACAAAACGACAAAACCAAGGATAACAACGTTCAACGAATCAACGGCAACGGTTCAACCACGGTTCAACGAACAGATCAACCAATCAAATGAACACAACAAAACACAATACCCCCGCCGCAGCAAACCTGCAGACTAAGCGAATTTTAACTTGCCTGATTACATTTTTACTCAAATATTTAAAATAATTAAGACATATTTATTCATAATTTAAATAACTTTAGATTTAATGAGTGCTTAGGGTTGCTGCTACGGGGAAGGTAAAAAGTGTTTTTGACCATAAGTCAATAGTATAAGATGAAATAAATAAATTTGTCAAATTTTATCAATATACATCCATAAACAAGTAAACTACAACAGTTTTCATTTTCTCCATAAGAATAACATAGGAATTTTTAATTACATTATTTTTGAATTTTCTCCGTTACCGTTAGGCATACAACAGCGCTTCAATATACTAAATTATTTATTTTTTTAAGCTCTACAAAACGGTTTGAAAAGAAATTGCGAAATTATTTGTTTTTAGGGTCAAAAATGGGAAAAACCCATTTTTACCCCATAAAACCCTCCATAAACCCCCGTTCCAATGGTCCGATTATGCTGGTTCGCGAACTCGTTCGAATAAACGTAGGTTTACACGTTTGTACCAAATTTCATCAAAATCGGATCATTTTTGCTCGAGTTATCGCGCTAACGGACACATATATATTTATAAATATATATATATATAAATATATATATATAAATATATATATATATGAATTTGAACGGATGGTGTTTTTGGCCTCTAGGGACCTCAAAACGAAAAATTAAATTGGTCCCGGGTCCAGGTCTTACCATGAGTACTACGGTAACAGCTTATTCCCTATATGGGAAATTCGCTAAAAAAGAACCGCAAAACACTCGACAAAACCATTTTTGATTTCCAGTTCCAGATGACCAACATCCAAAATGGTCGAAACCAAAATAATCCCATTTGACCGACATCCCATATATACCACAGCACAAAATATCGATATCGGTTAAATGATATGTCGGTCAAATGGGATTTGAACCATCTATATAAATAAAATTAGAGTTTTGTCTGTACATTGCTTAGAATAATGAACTTTTTGGTTATTTTTACATTTCATAGGTCAGAGAAACCGAATCAAACCTTATCTCAATTTCTGTCTGTCTGTCTGTCTGTCTGTCTGTCTGTCTATCTGTCATTCTCTTGGTAACGCTAAAATACGCACTTTATTACAACTACTCCTCAATAACTATAGCACTGTCCCGCCTGAAACTTATTTTCCAAATACTATACATATATGAGATGGTTTTAGACGTATTTCATCGAATATGAGACAGTTAGATATTTAACAGTAAACCCTTGAAAATCAAGTTTTTGTCGATTTTTGACGTGGAATTTCTGGAAGCCCATGTTAACCTTATGAGAAATGAAATTATTGAATCTTAACAGCTGTTTCAATTAAACAAGTTGGTTCTGTTCTGTGATGTTCAATAGCATTAAAGTTACAAGGATTACCAACAGGGTGCAGCACTAGCACTATTATTTCTTTTACATTTATGACAACAGCTAATTTGCAACCTGGAGGCGAGTGAGCGTAGCGAACGAGCTAACCTGAAGGAAAGTGAGCGCAGCGAACGAGCTCCAACATACAGGTGAGTGAGCGTAGCGAACGAACTTCAACCAGGACGTGATTGAGCCATGCAAACGAGATCAGATAGTAAAAATAAAAGTAAGCCTACCGTTATAGGATCGACCGGCAGACACAGAGGTAATTTAACCTTTTATTGATTGTCATACCGATCCGGAACAACAAAAAACAACATAAAATGAAGCTATGTATAATAGTTTGGCCAGCATATCTTAAAATATGCAAACCAACTGCTGTTCGTTATATAAGAAGGTTTCAACTGAATATTATAAGATCCCCGTGCGTAGAACGGGTACACAGCTAGTCTAGGAATATAATGTGTAATTATCCACGGCCACCTTAAACTCCCTGTGAATCACCTCATACGGCCGTAACTGAAATATCCTCAATGGCCTAATAGTCTAGGCATTTTAGGAAAGTTAGCGGAAAGTTTAGGTACAGTCCTAATAATCACTTTTCTTTATGTTTTTTGGGTCGCTGAACACGAATATGAGGTTTGCTGACAGATATTTTGCCCGGAACATTGGTTATTTTGTGAAAAACCTTAAAATTTGGGCACTTTTTTTGTTTTTTCGGGCAAATCTCGGTAAGAATGGGTTTTTTTAAGAAAATCCTGCTTTGTAAAATTAAAGATGACAAAATTTACTACAAGTTTCCTACATAATGTTTGTTTCTACGACGAACCGTTTCGCCACTAGAGCACACTAAAAAAGGCCAGAAGTACAAAAAAATTAAAAACAATGCTTAATGCTGCCGTTTTACATTACGTTTCCATGGCAACAATCCATGTTACGATAATTTAAACTATTTATTCATGATAACAAACTGAAACACACTTAAAAATACCCCCGCCGCAGCAAACCTGCAGACTAAGCGAATTTCCATTTCCCTGATTGGATTTACACTAAAATGTCTCCTTAGAAATAAGACTTTTATTCCCTATTTCAATAAAAGTTTAACGAGTACTTAGGTTTGCTGCAACAGGGAGGGTAAAAGGTGTTTTTTGCAAAATGTAATAATTTAGTATAAAATGAATGCATTTTCCAAATTTGATCAAAATATGTTCATAAACAAGCAAACTACAACAGTTTACTTAGTCTCCATAAGAATAAAATGGGCATTTTAAATTTACAGATTTTTGGAATTTTCTCCGTAACCATTAGGCGCATAACAACACTTTAATATACTAAACTATTTGTTTTTTTAAGCTCTACAAAATGGTATGGAAAGAAATCGCTAAATTTTAAGTTTATAGGGTCAAAAATAGGAAATAGTTATTTGTGCAACTAGTGAGAAAAGTGAGCAATTGACTCACTCGAGAGAAATCCTTACTCAAGAGCCGTAGGCGAGTGAGGAATGGTTTCTCGAGTGAGGCAATTGTACTTTGAACTCGAGTTGCACATTATACTTTTCCTACAGTTACCATAAAACAAATAAATTGGTGAAGAAACATAACCTATTTTTACACAGAAGTGAACTTTTAATATAACATTTAACGTGAAGTGACAATACAACAGTACAACAGCTGACCAGCTGATTTACAGCCAGTGCTGCCAACGTATTTCGCGCGCATACGACGTTGCCTGCATGTTACCAGTAGTACGTTTTCTGTGATGTTACGCGCTCACTATTTCGTGCCTTCACGTTGCAAATCTGGAGTGAGACAAAGTAATTAGAGTGAGACAATGTTAACATTGTCTCACTGATGAGCGAATTGGCCACTTTGCTTTCTCAAATCAGTGAGAGAACATGTACATTGTTAGGTAACTGTAGGAAAAACCAATTTTTACCCCATAAAACCCCCCATAAATCCCTGTTCCCATAGTCCGATCATGCTGGGCAAAACAAAAAAATGAAAATAAACCCTAACCGTTTTACAAAGGTTTTACATTGGGTTTCCATGGAAACAACCCATGTTACGATAATTTGAACTATTTATTCATGATAATTAACTGAAACACACTTGATAAATCTATGCCAAGATGTATGACTGATGACTGCTGGAACATTTCCCGTTCCCATAAAACCCCCATTTATTTTCTCAGCACAGGGACGTTGCTGGCCACAGGGTTGACTGCTATAGTGATTGAGAAAAAAGAATGAAATACATTAAAAGAGTTGTAGATAACTTTTAACTTTGGTAACGTCAAATTCAGACGAGTAGACCGTGTCCAGCCACTTGCCATAGTAAATAACGCGATGAAAGTAGAGAATTCTTACCCGTAAACCCCAACACATTGTTTCAACGTATCAGCATCGCTAAGAATTCTGATGAAGAACTAAAACACTTCTTGTCCTACGAACTGGGTCCATACTCTTTCTCGTTGTTTGATAATAACGGTTTGCACAAAGAACCAAATCAAATCTTTAAAGGCCTAAAGCCCCTGTCCCCATTGAAAACAAGCACTTCCATGGTCAAGTGCAGTATGTTATTGATGGTGGGTTCCTACTACACAAAAGTTATGTCCAGAGCATCAACCTTTCAACCATAAAAAACCTAGCATTAACCAAGAAAAACTTAATCGAAAACATACTCACTACTCCTTGCCTTTCTATAAAGAAGAAAACTGTAGGCAGCTGAGAATATTCAAAGATAAACTTGGTCCTCAGTTTCTTACCCTTGAAGAAGCCTTAGAAGCGAATGAGGATGTGGAGGAAGATGTTTTTTCTCTCATCTTGGGCCCATAAAAATGGATGGAATGCCAACCTTCAACCCGAAGAGAGTGAATTACATGATCCTACCAACCAACCTATTCATGAGATTATTAAAATTATCAATGAAAGAAATTATAAAGAATAATAAAAAGAAAGATTGTCTCTATTTTCCACAATTTAATCCTAAAAGACGGGTATTTCTTTCAGGTGGAGTTTTGCGGTCAGAAGACACACTAGTTACTTTATTAGTGAATTTCCCCTATAGGGAATAAGCTATTACCTTAGTACTCATGGTAAGACCTGGACCCGGGACCAATTTACTTTTTCGTTTTGAGGCCCCTAGAGAGCAAAAACACCATCCGATCAAATTCATATATGTGTCCGTTAGGGCGAGAACCCGAGCAAAAATCATACGTCTATTCGAACGAGTTCGCGAACCAGCATGATCGGACTATGGAAACAGGGATTTATGGGGTAAAAATTGGGTTTTCCTATTTTTGACCCTATAAACTTAAAATTTAGCGATTTCTTTCCATACCATTTTGTAGAGCTTAAAAAAAACAAATAGTTTAGTATATTAAAGTGTTGTTATGCGTCTAATAGTTACGGAGAAAATTCCAAAAATCTGTAAATTTAAAATGCCCATGTTATTCTTATGGAGACTAAGTAAAATGTTGTAGTTTGCTTGTTTATGAACATATTTTGATCAAATTTTGAAAATGCATTCATTTTATACTAAATTATTACATTTTACAAAAAACACCTTTTTACCCTCCCTGTTGCAGCAAACCTAAGTATTCGTTAAACTTTTATTGAAATAGGGAATACATGTGATATTTCTAAGGAGACATTTTAGTGTAAATCCAATTAAGGAAATGGAAATTCGCTTAGTCTGCAGGTTTGCTGTGGTGGGGATATTTTTAAGTGTGTTTCAGTTTGTTAGCATGAATAAATAGTTAAAATTATCGTAACATGGGTACTTTCCATGGTTAACGTAATGTAAAACGGCAGCATTTAGCATAGTTTTTAATTTTTTTGTACTTCTGGCCTTTTTAGTGTGCTCTAGTGGCGAAACGGTTCGTCGTAGAAACAAACATTATGTAGGAAACTTGTAGTAAATTTTGTCATCTTTAATTTTACAAAGCGGGATTTTCTTTAAAACCCATACTTACCGAAATTTGCCCGAAAAACCAAAAAAAGTGCCCAAATTTTAAGGGTTTTCACAAAATAACCAATGTTCCGGGCAAAATATCTGTCAGCAAACCTCATATTCGTGTTCAGCGACCCAAAAAACATAAAGAAATGTGATGATTAGGACTGTACCTAAACTTTCCGCTAACTGTCATTTATATTCCTAATATGCTTAGCCTATAATAAATCATTGATTTTATGAACAGAACTAGTTTTACGATTAGTATAAACCACTGAGCTATAAAAACATACTCCCTTAGTAGATTTCTCATCCTAATGGAACAGCTGAAGACAATTTTATTGTTAGTTCTGTATACGGTTTATGTAGAGGTCGTGTTTTGTTTACAATTTGTTTCCCGTTAATACAGTCATAAACAATAAATTGTCCCCTAGTTCAGTCAAAGGCGCTACGAAGAATAGTTGATGCTCCGTGGTTTGTTTCGAATCGAACAATCCATGAAGATTTCAGAATACCTACAGTAATTGAAGAAATAACAAGAATTAGCAAGAACTATCAAGAAAAACTCGAAAGCCACCCGAACAATATAGCCGTTAATTTGCTGGACAATAGTGATTTTCCCAACAGACTGAAAATTGTGAAAGTTCTAGAACTCCCATACCGATTTGTATAGTTTTAGTTATGACATGACTATTTAATTTTGCAAGATCTTTCACAGGGAAGATTCTTGGTCAAGACACTTATTTATATTATCCCTTTTACTAATTGCTCAAAGTACTGAACAGATTGTAAAATAAAATTAAGTTAAAAAAAAAAAAAAAGTTATTTAACCAAACATCAAAGCACAAATCAAGAAATTAACCCAAAAATAATAGAAACAAAATTTTGTCGACACTAGCGCCCAGTGTGGCGTACATAAACTAGACATGAAAAACGAGCTTCAACATTTACAATGGGATGAGAAGTCTAGGTTAGTCTATGGTATAAACATTCATTAGATTTTTTTATTATCAGCAAGTTTGGTTAGGTAATGACAGTTTGATTTTATAATAAAAATATTATAAAGCATTAAAGCATTTATAATTTTATTTTATGAACAGAAGAATTTTTTCGATTAGTAAACCTTAATTCAATTTTTCCATCATCCGCAAGTTTGGTTAGGCTATGACAGATTAATTTTACAATTAAAAAAATTATTTAATACCTAACTTTTCTTAATTTTAATAATTAAGTAAAACCATAGATAAATCATGCGTGTTGCTTAGTCTATGGTAAAACTTATGATATCGTGGATCTACAGACCAATAATATGACGTCACGGATTATTCCCGTGAGCCTGTTCGGAACGCGTCCCAGTAACAACGTGATGTAATCTGGATCAGGATTTTTAGGAAGGAAATAGGATTTTTATTTCAATTTTTATCCGAACCGAATCCATCCATTTCTTCTTCTTGTTCTCAATTGAAGTCATAACACTATAACCTGTGACCTATAAAAAGTTGATATAGAAGTGTTTCTAAAGAACATATTGTGGTGATTTTAAATTGAACTAATATTTTAAGAATGGAGCCAGTTTCAAGAATTGTTAAGGAACATGTACCAAATTATCTTTCAAACTTACCCGTTCCAAATTCAATTGGAGGATGGTTTAGGTTAGGAGGTAAGTGGGCTCCAATAGGCCTAATAAGTTAATTAATTTTACGATAAGACTAGCCATACTGTTAGTACGCCTATATATTTACGTTGATAACAGCCTTAGTTGACAAACATTGAGTAGGCCTAGTAAGTTAAGCCAGTCAACTCTAAAGCCTAATAGGCCGTCCTGAAATAAAATATTTCATAATTTCCTTTCTGTGAAGACAAGTTTAGTCTAGATCCAAAGGTAGGCCAAGGTGTGTAGGCTATCTTAAGTCAATTTACTGTATTTATTTGCTACAGTAAACAGCTGTACAGGCCCCTACTCCGTTCCATACCCACTTCACTAACTCCATACAGTGTTTCCACACTACTAAAGGACTAAACAAATAGCCTAATCCCTCTCACTGGGTCCGGAAATCCCATTTAACTGACTATATGGACTGGCAATATGACGATTTTTGTCATAGTCTGTGCTTCGAAAATGCCCATATGACGAAAATCATCATATAGTGTCACTTTCTTTTTCAAACAGCTTTAATTTAAAATCATTCCAAAACCATTGTTTTGATACCATTCGAAAGATGAAATTCTAAACTTTTATTTTCATGTTTCAAGTTAACTTAAACAAATCTTATAGCATTAACATATCAATGTTATTGTCGTTACAATTTGAATAAAAATTTAGGCGCAAGATGATTTTGAGTTTACCGCGTCAATTTATTCTTTAATCTTTAATGAAACGGGTTGTGGTTGGTACCAATAGTAAGATTTTGTTCTGGATTTTATTTTCGTATCAAGAATCGTAGCCTATGTGATTATAATGTCAGACAATTTGGGAAATAAATTAATACCTATTAGAAATCAGCTGTAATTTGAAATGACAAAAATTGTCATTTGGGCAATGACTAATATATCAATAAAGGATTGTGTTAGTGTTATGTATAATTTATAGGCTATTTATCTGTAGCTAGAAATAAAAACATGGCCTACAATTTGAAATAGGTAGGCCTACACAGTTATTGTTCTCTGAAACCTCCTTCCTTTTCTTTACAAAGCGAGTATCTATATGATGTGATAAGTACATCTTATAGTTAGTTTATTAAGTAGGCCTAGTAGTGATAAGTAATTTAGACGACTGCAAATTTTTAAAAAGAACTCTTGTGAAATCACAAAAATGGAAGGGACATTCATCCAAACCATCAGGGCAGTCCTAGGGTTAATCCTGCTTTTGAATCATGTTTTAATCCTGTAAGATTTTTTTGGTTAAATTCTGAGTGTTATCATTGACTATGGATCAGCTGTCGCCAATATTTTACTAAAAAAGAATGTAGTTGTGAGCCAGTCACAGATTGCGCTAGTTTCTAAAACTCTATTTTGTACCTTATTTTTCGTTACTGACATAGTTGCTGGGTCACAACAGTTGCTATACCTAGCTCATAATAAGTCATTCCATCAGTTTTACTTGATAAAAACCATCATGTAATCGGCAGAAATCAGTAATTTAGATCAGCACAATCTGTAGGTGGCTCACATCAACTAAGACAAATTTTACTAAAAACCTGGACTACAACTTTAACATGGGGATGGAATATCTAAAAGGTGTTATATTTAGACGTATCGTGTTTAAATAGTAGCCTAGTTTAAACATTGCTTCTGTCTATTATATTTTTTACAGTAATTTTATTAATTGGGGTTAGTTGTTCGCTAAAATAAAGCATGAAAAATTAAAACAGACGTCATAGCCAAAAATCCCGCATCCCGTTTTCGCGATAATAATCCCGCGTATAGAAACACTGACTCCATACTCCATATTTCATTTTAACTATGAATCAACCAACTGACAGCTGATATATACTGTAAGCTGAAAGACATAAAGGAATGAAGGAATGAAGACGTATACAAACACGTGAAAGAATATTCTGTCACACACCAAGCGACTAAACATGACCGAGATGGACTGCCTCTCTTTTAAAGAGAACAGAAACATGAGCAGCTGCAGGAACCCAATTCAAGTCAACAATCCAATCACTCTACAGTGTCCCATACTATAACCCCTTTTTTAGAAACGAACAGCCTGAAAAAGCAAAAGAAAAATCTGCAAATCTCCAAATAATTCTTTTGTAGCAATAATGCACCAAAATATTAGAGGACTTGCTACAAAGACGAACAGACTACACCATATTCTCAATGACACAAAACCAAGCATTCTAGTCTTGACTGAACACGGACTGAAAAAAACAGAGCTAGAAGCTACAAAAATTCCCGGCTACTCTTTAATTACCCACTTTAGTAGAGAAGAACATAAACTTGGAGGTGTTGCAATATATTCCAAGGAATCCCTTGCTGATACAGTATCAGCTATTAACATATCAAACACATGCCAGGAGTTAATTTTCGAAGCAGCAATGATTCGCATGCAGACAACAAAGAAAAAGGATATCTACATTCTGGGCATCTATAGACCACCAATCGAAAATGTAAGAATTGCCCTTGACCTCCTATCAGACACGCTAGAACTACAAGAAGTACACAAGAAAAACCTCATACTCATCGGTGACATAAATATCGACAGGCTCACCCAAGATTCCAAAAACACCATGCTGGAAGAAGAGTTAACCACACAAAACATCTGGAGATTTCCTCTAGAGGCCACCAGAATAACCCATGACACAGCCACTTCAATAGACTGTATATGCTCAAACATACCATATGCGTATATTACTGGACAAGTTGTGCATACTGGTCTATCTGACCACACTGCGCAGCTGTGCCTGCTGAAAACACACCAAGAAGACACTTCCCAAAGATTTGTAATGAAAAGAAGCCTAAACAACACCAACCTAAACAATCTAAAGGCTCACCTCCATCTACAAAATTGGGAACATGTTTACTCTTCACCGAATCTTGAAACCTCCTACAACAAATTTCATAATATTCTTCAAACAGCACTGGATTATACATGCCCATTAAAGAAAACTAAAATTAGTACAAACAAAAAACATATGAAGTACTACGATCCTGAAGCAAAATACCTTAAAGAGAACTTTTTGAAAGCTCTGCAAAAGTTTGAGTTAACGAACAGAAATGAAGACAAATTAGAAATGATTAATAGAAAAAGGATATACGACATGAAACTAAGAAACCTAAAAATGTTCTCAACAGCTAGCTTCATAGAACAAGCTGACAACAAACCAAAAGCACTATGGCAAGTTATAAACAAGGAAAGGAAAGGAAAATGTGAAGAGAAAACCCTTACAGAATTAGAAATAAATGGCAAACTCACAAACGACACAAAAGAAATGGCCGAACACTTCAACACATTCTTCTCAAATATAGCAGAAAATACCCTTGACCAAAATAGAGCAATCGTTATAGACCCTGAAACAGTGCTGAATGGAGAGGAACCAGTCTGCCCATGTAATGAGAGTAAGAATGAATGAAAAGAACTTTTATTACCTTTAGAAAGGTTTTTAATAACTTGAACAATACTACATTGAATTATAATGGACTTGTTTACAAACACAACAAAACAATAATAAAGAATTGAAGACACATGTTTTTTACTACATTCTTCCTCCCTAATGTTAATGAACGTAATCATTTAAATAATTAGGAGGTCTTCTGCTTCTGAAACTTCTTCTCGGATATGTGTTATGGTTCTCTCCTCTAGAAGCTTCTTGTCTAGGTTGTAAATTCTCGGCAGTAGTATTCATTTCATCTTCTTGGTTCTGTGTTGATGAAGGACTAGGAAAGTATTCAGGTTCAGGTTGAGAAGTGGGTAATAGAATATTTTCATCACTCTCAAAATCGGTTTGCTTTATGTCGGTTTGGTACTCACCAACCGGAGCAAGATGACGTGTAGACACGGTAGTTTCTCTTCCGTCAGGCAACTTTACATGAGCATACTCGGCATTCCCGTGAAGAAGTTGGACCTCTTCAACAAGTGGCTCATACTTGGACGTACGATTGAATCTCTTCAAGTAGACAGGGCCGGAATTGAGAAGCCATGAAGGAGCTGAAACACCATTGTTCCCAGATCTACGTGGATGTAAGAACATACGCTCGTGAGGAGTTTGATTTGTGGCTGTGCAAAGTAATGATCTCACTGAGCTGAGGGCATCCTCTAAAACTGTCTCCCATTGGTTTATTTCTAAGTTAAGTGATTTCAACGCCAGTTCAATTGTTTTCCATAGAATGCCATTACCTTTCAACTTGCCCATTACCTGCTGGATTGTACGCAGTGGTTCTACTAGTTGAGATTCCAAGTGAGTTCAAGTAGCTTTTTAAGTCTTGGCTCAGAAATGATGTTCCTCTGTCCGAATGTATGTAACTAGGAACCCCAAAAGTAGAAAATAATGTTTTTAGTTTCGACTTAACTGTCGACGATGACATGTCTGAACAAGGGAAAGCGAAAGGGAACCGTGAAAACTCGTCTACTATTACTAATAAGTAACGGTTTCGATTTGATGAAGGCAGCGGGCCTTTGAAATCGATATTCAGCCGTTCAAATGCAGAAGTGGCTTTAATCAAAAGTGTTCTCTAGCTGCTGTGACTGAAAAATGTTTCTTTTGTGGTAATCTAAGACATCCTAGGGTCAAATGTCCAGCTAAAAATACAATTTGTCATAACTGTGGTAAACAGGGGCATTTTGCTAAGGTCTGCAGGGCAGGTAAACTACAAACCAAGCAATTGGATAAATCTAAAGAAGTAATGAACTCTATTGACCTAGCAGCTTCGCCCGGTGGGTTAACAAAGAGTACAGTACAAGCCCTAGTTAATGGTAAATCTGTCTCTGCTTTGATAGATACGGGAAGCTCTCTAAGTTTTATAAACAAATCTACTGCTCTTAATTTAGGTATTTCTATAAAACCAGGTAGGGGTACTGTCTCAATGGCTACTACATCAATCACATCCGACATAACAGGTCAATGCAAAGTAAATCTTGTCATTCTTGATCACTTTTACAAGCAAGTTAATCTTTCATTGTTACCAGATCTTTGTGCAGATATAATTGTTGGACATGATATTTTGAAAAACCATGCAAGTATTAAAGTAGTCTTTGGTGGCAACAAGTCACAACTAACCGTATGTAGCGTGGCAGCCTCAACTGTAGAACCAGTATCTTTGTTTTCTAATTTAAAACCGGAATGTAAGCCAATCGCAATCAAGTATCATCGCCATAGCACCGATGATTTAAAGTTTATTGAAAACGAAGTAAGTAAATTGCTTAAAGACGATGTTATAGAGCCTAGTATGTCTCCATGGAGGGCTCAAGCATTAGTAGTTACTACTGAAAATCATAGAAAAAGAATGGTCATTGACTACTCCAGGACTATAAATCGTTTTACATTACTGGACGCTTACCCACTACCTAGAATCGATGATATCGTTAACAAAGTTGCAAATTATGAGTTTTTCAGTACTATCGACTTGAAAAGTGCGTACCACCAAGTAAAGATAAGAAATGAAGAAAAGCACTACACAGCTTTTGAGGCCTGTGGTCAACTCTACCAGTTTAAACGTATCCCGTTTGGGGTCACTAATGGGGTGGCAGCATTCCAACGTGTAATTGACCAAGTCATCCGAACAGAACAGTTACAAGACACTTACGCCTATCTTGATGATGTCACAATCTGTGGAAAAACACAAGAACAACACGATATAAACTTAAAAAAGTTTATCGAAGCTGCATCCAAATACAACCTAACTATTAATAATGAGAAGTCTTCATTTTCACTGCGATCGATCAACTTGTTGGGCTATCATATATCAAACAAAACTATCAAGCCTGACCCCAGTCGCCTATTTCCTTTGAAAAATTTACCTCCACCCAGAGACACCGCATCACTGAGGAGGACCCTTGGTATGTTTTCACATTATGCATCACTTATACCAGATTATGCTACCAAAGTGATTCCACTTGCGCGTACTACATTCCCTTTGTCCAAAGCAGGGCTCCAGTCTTTCGAAACTATAAAAAGTGAAATCATCGGATCTGTAGTAAGCTGCATTGACCCTGAAGCACAGTTCATTGTAGAAACTGATGCATCTGAGAGTACCATTGCTGCTACTTTGACTCAATCGAACCGTCCAGTCGCATTCTTCTCAAGGATACTTTCTCCAGCAGAACAAAGACATTCAAGTGTCGAAAAAGAAGCACAAGCTATTGTGGAAGCACTGCGGAAATGGCGTCACTATTTGGTTGGTAAACATTTCAAGCTGATTACTGACCAGAGGTCGGTTTCTTTTATGTTCGATAACAACCGTCATAGCAAAGTGAAAAATGAAAAGATAATGAGGTGGAAACTGGAATTGTCGTGCTTTCATTATGATATTGTATATAGACCCGGTAAAGATAATATGGCTGCAGATGCCCTGACTAGAGTATGTTCTTCAATCCAAAATCAAGAAAAACTGTTGATTGATTTACATGCGAATCTATGTCATCCAGGTGTGACACGTTTGTACCACTGGGTTCGAAGTAAAAACTTGCCCTACTCGATTGATGAAATCAGACGAATAACAAACTCCTGCAATGTGTGTGCTGCTGTGAAGCCTAGATTCTTCAAACACAAAGGGATTTTGAGTTTATCGGAGTCGGATGGTTGTGGTGTGATGCTGGTAACAAAATTCTGAAATGTTTTGTGCCAATGTGTCCATTCCTTACTTGCAGATGATGAGCTTGGATCTACACTAAACTTGTCTGGCTTTAGGATCGTATCCATTTCACAATATCAAGTTATTAAAATTGTAATGAGAGTAAGAATGAATGAAAAGAACTTTTATTACCTTTAGAAAGGTTTTTAATAACTTGAACAATACTACATTGAATTATAATGGACTTGTTTACAAACACAACAAAACAATAATAAAGAATTGAAGACACATGTTTTTTACTACAGCCCAATACACCTTACCCTAACTTCAACATCCTATAAAGAAGTTAAAACGATAATAACCCTAAAAGCCAAAACATCAAGTGGAATAGATGAGTTTTCCTCTAAGATGATAAAGCACTGCTCTCAAGAACTCATCTCTCCTCTGGTTTATCTTATAAATAAATCATTTAAAGAAGGCAAATTCCCATCCGCCATAAAAGTCAGTAAAATATACCCCAAACATAAAAAAAGGACCAACTGAAAATGCTCAAAACTACAGGCCCATCTCTCTCATCTCCAGTTTCTCTAAAATCATAGAAAAAATTGCTCTGGCTAGATTAATGGCACATCTTAATCATAACAAACTCTTAACTGACAGCCAACATGGCTTTCGGAAGAATAAATCTACATCCTCAGCTATAACAGCACTAATTGAGTACGTCCTAGACCAGATAGAAAACGAACAATACATTTCCGCCATCTTCCTTGATTACAGTAAGGCTTTTGACTGCCTGGGCCACGACCTGATATGCAAGAAACTCGAAAGACTCGGTATAAGAAATTCTGCGCTAGAATGGTTCAAAAGCTACCTAACGGGACGTTCACAAGTCGTGGAACTGAAAAACTCATCAAATGAAGTCACAGAAAGTCTCAAATCTTCAAAAAGCAAGCTGACGAAAGGAGTTCCACAAGGCTCTGCATTAGGCCGGATTCTATTCATCTTATTGACTAATGACTTCCCCAAACAAATTTAGAGTGAAAATGCTGTTGCAATCATGTATGCAGATGACACAACCATTTTGATCAAGGACAACACAGCCCAAAACCTTTACCTTAATTCAAAATCGATCCTAAATAAAACTATCCTCTACTCAAAGAACAATGACTTAGCAATAAACCCCACAAAAACTACAACTCTGAATTTCAGTAAGAAAAAAGACATAGTCCCTCAATTAGAGGATGTAACAATAGAAAACCACACAAAATTTCTCGGTGTTATCCTTGATAACAAACTAACATGGAAAGAGCACATCAACCACTTAAGAAAAAAATCAGTACTGGAATATATGTCGTCAGAAGAATAAACTACATAGGCGGACTCTCTGTGGCCAAAACAGCTTACTTCCCACTGGTAGAGTCGCATCTTAGATATGGCTTGACAGTGTGGGGACGAACTTTAACAAAAAATATGAATCGAATTCTTGTCCTACAAAAGAAAGCCATAAGAGCCCTCGCCAACCTTGTCCCACCACAGACTTGCAGACTAGCATTCGCAAACCTAGGAATCCTCACAGTGGTGTCTCTCTACATACTTGAAACCATAAAGTATGTGAATGAAATAAACCCCCCAAGAAACCAAGACCTGCACCACTACAACACCCGTCATGGCTCCAAATTTGCACTACCAGTTCACCGAACAACTCTTTGGGAGAAAAAACCTTCCTACACCGGCTGCAAGCTGAGGAACCATCTACCTGACTACCTGAGAGACCTGACTGGCAACAAGCTACACCAGGAGTTGAAGAAGTGGCTAATCGCAAGACCCTTCTACTCAATAAAGGAATTTTATGAAACTTAACATGTACAATTCACTATTGTATTGACACTATTGTAATTCTTGACGAATTAACAATAAAGAATATTGTATTGTATAGCTTAATTGAAGTGGTCGGTGACCCAGGAAACCTTCCCCACTTACCGCAAATTTTGTGAACGGACTAATATAGTAGGTAGCTGGTTTCTTTGTATAGACAAGAAAGTGGTTTTCAAAAAGGTTCATGGATCAGCTGGTTTTTATTGGTTATTTATGTTTGTTGTAGGTACACTGTTAATTTTAAATTTGTTCATTGATAGTGTACTCTATTCATAAAATGTGATAAAAAGGCAAAGTCACAGTAACTTACTTTATATTACGACGACAATAACCTCTATGGTTACTCAATGTCACAGTACTGTATATTACGACGACAATAAACTCTATGGTTAGTCAATGTCACAGTACTTTATATTACAACGAGAATAACCTCTATTAGGCAATGTCACAGTACTGTATATTACGACAATAAACTCTATGGTTAGTCAATGTCACAGTACTGTATATTACAACGTGAATAACCTCTATGGTAGGCAATGTCACAGTATATGCCTTAAATAATTCCATTAAAAAAAAATAGGTTTTGGTGGATTCGAGATTCAGATTTGACAGATCCCTACAACATTGATAGGCTAAGTTATTTAAGATCCAAACCACTCAATCAGAAATACTAATTCAATTGTTGATGTTACAGTCAAGGATTGGCTGTCAATGATTCCTCTATTTGCTGTTGTTGGAGGAGCATCGTATGCGACATACAGATTATTTAGACCAAAATCGGTAAATAGAAAAATTAGTATAGTAGTATAAGTAGACTATTCCAAATGTTTGTATGATCAATATACAGGGTGGTCCAATATGGACATCCTCACAGGATATATTTGGAAAGGGAAACGTTAGTAAAAAGTATCATAGAACGTTTCAATGGGCAAAAGATTTTGATATGATTTTTGGGCAGAGTGAAATAAAGCCATACTGAAATGCCGAGAAGGTAAATGGAAAGCCTAAAGTTGTTTCTTATAGCTTAATTTACTTGGTTTAACCCTGTACCATTTATAACTTTTTTAGAAAATTGTATAAAAACATTGAAAATGAGTTATAAAATACACTTTTTGGAGTCTAGCGTAAAATTTGATCTTTTGGTTTTGACTCCTGGCTAAATTACAACCCTAATAAATATTAGATGATTTACAATAGTTACGTTTGTGGGAAATAAATAATGTCACAGCAAATTACACTGCATGGTTTTATAATGGGGTCAATCTATTTGAATTGATCTAATAAAAGGTGTCTTGACCAATTTCAATATTTTAAACATTTTTTTTATATATTGTTCTTTTAAAGTTAAGATATTCAAAACAGGTTTAACATTTTGTTTATAATATCCTGTTTTTTGATATGACAGGATATGATAAGCGATCATTTTTGTGTAGCCAAGCAGACTAATTTAGGCTGTTACAGTCAAATGTAAACAAATTAATGTCACAAATTTGTTAGAAGATATTTTAAGAAAAAAATATTGGAAATTGATCCATCAATTTTGAAATTTCTTTTGGAATAACTTCATTTTGATTACAAATGCCAGTCAATAGACCAATTAACATAAACATTGGCTTTTGGTACGGTAATTAAATAATCTGATGGCAAATTTTATTATCAAAATGAAGGTGTGAAAAGTCACATATTCTAAGGAGACTAACAAGTTAGTGTAGGCTCTACACAGAATCTGTATTTGAATGATTATGGTTATCATGAGGGTCTTGTCTTATCTTTATTATTTAGACATATTATGTAACTATAACAATTTGACATAGCCAGTGTTTTTACCATTTGATTTAAACCATGTATTTTGCTTAAAAAATGTATGTTTGTATAAGATATATAGGATGCCACTCCCTGTAAGTTATGTTATTTTTTCTGTTTTTACATCTAGTATTTCTATCAAAGACTGTTGGGATTGGCTTAAAGATTTAACAAAACAATGTTACGTACTTCTGTTTCTTCTCTAATCTCAGCAAATGTTAACTTAGTACTTGAGTAGAAAATCCAATTCATTGCATTAACCAAAAAATTCAAATGTGAGAAAGTTATGTTGGACTTATATTACACATTGACCGCAATATTTTATTTTGAGTAGGATCGGTAATTCATTGAAAAATTGTTTTGGCGTCATCTTTTCTACAATTTATGGGTTCCGCTGTATATAGATTTTTCACATGTTTATTCCTCTTTATTTTGTTAATTTTTTCTTCAATATTGTAGTTATTACGTTATTCATAATGAAGTTAAAAATTGAGGTGTACACTATCTTTATTAATCTCCAACTATGCTAAAGAATTGTCCTGATATCTTGGACAATTCCTCAATTGATTTCATTACAGTTAATTCCTCATTAACTGTTAACAGTTAACATAGAGTGATGGTTAATTGAGGTAAAACTGATCTCTGTGAGTCCTAAACTCTTTGTTAAGAAATACTAGCATTTTTTACACCTGTAAAAAACCCTGAAAGGGGTGTTTACTAGTTCAATATAAATATTAATCAGTATTTTAATGCCTTACAGAGAAACCATCTGTAATAGCCAAGAGCTTATTCATTTTAATATTTTATGATTTATCAAATATACAATTTGTAATCGTTTAGTTTACCTCTTCCTTGTTGTAGGCCTATTGACGTTGAAGCAACGGGTGTAATCATAATTTTTGTTGCAGCCGGTGAATCCTGACATCAAGAAAACCGACGCCAAAGTAGTCGATAGTTTTAATATTGAAGATCTCGGTGACAAGGCTGCTTTCTGTCGATGTTGGAGGAGCTCAAAGTTCCCGTACTGTGATGGAGCTCACGGAAAATACAACAAAACTCACGGAGACAATGTTGGCCCTCTGATTATCAACAAGAAAAAGTAATCCCCCTTGCTCTCTGTCCTAGGTGCAACAATTTTTATATTAGATGCGAAATAGTATTCATATTCATTTCTATTTAGTCTATTGCAAATGAGGGACATAGAAGTAGAATCATTTAATCAATTGTTTTTGAATGTTCAAAAAATCTTCTACTCTACGAATGCTGCAATTGGACTGTTGATATGATATTGCTATATTAATGCTTGTAAAATATGGTGAAAGGATAATTTTTATGAATTGTTGTTAAATAAATAAATACAAAATGTTTTATAAGAGCTTTTCTCTTGCGAGTTTGTTTTATCCACTAACTATCTTAATCTAGGACAATAACATGCTCAGATTGTGACAAAGCTAATAGTTTTGGATACAGAGACGTCTGCTGTAGGTGTAATACCTTATTACACCACCTTATTTGAACATACTTTTCACTTCCGTGAATTGACTGAAGGAGAAAGTCTCAGGATCAAGAATTGAGGATAAATTTTGTGGCAAGACATTGTGGTTGGTTTTAACATCCTTTTGTTGCCTGATTTTGTCTCTTGGATATAAAATATTAATGAATGTTAGACATTAAACAAATCAATCCGCATGTCTAGAAAAGAAATGGATCATATTAGAAACCCTTGCTGACAGACCGCCACTACCCACCACCACCCACCCACCACTGCTCGAGCGAACACCATTACCGCAACGATACGATGCACAGCCATAGGTCTCGGTGGTGTAGTGGATAGCGCAACGGGCTGATAATTCGAAGGTAGCCGGTTCAAAACTCGGCGGAGGCATTAACTTTTTTACTCAATTTTTTTTCATTATCAGCAATTTTGGTTGGTTTGGTTAGGTTATGATAGTTTAATTTTATAATTAAAAAATTATATAATTGATGTTGAGACATTTATAATTTTATTTTATGAACAGAACTATTTTTGTTATTAGTAAACCTTCATTCGATATTTTCATTATCAGCAAGTTAGGTTAGGTTATGACAGTTAAATTAATTTAAATTTAACCTACAAACGATACGTTTTGACAGTGACAGTGATACAGATAACAATTTCCCACGAACAGTTCGGCTATACTTGGTATAATGCATTCTGCACGGCGCGGTGGTGGTCTGTCGATAACGTCTCGTGATCATATCCAAGGTAATTCAGGCATGTTTGGGTTAGTGAAACCCCATTCTTTGTGTCAATTATTTCTTGTTTTGTAGGTAACTTTGCAGCTGATTGACGGTTTTCCTCAAATTTACTTGTTCATGTTTACTAGTTACAATATGCATTTTGCTTTCATCATAAAAAAAAATATTGATTAAACTGACACATAAAAGTAAAGACTAAGTTACAAAAGCAAAGAGTCAGTAGAGTATACAGAGTACAGTAATCTTTCAAATCTCGTTATCAACAGCTACAGTTTTGGAGGTTTTTTCAAACACCCAAAACTCCACCGCACCACACTCAGTGTGAAGTTGCCAAAAATCAGAAAAACCACAGGATGATGACTTTGCCAAAGATATAGGAGTGTGCGGTGATTATAATTTCAACCCTTCCCGGGCGGGCAAAATCATGACATAGGACGGGAAAAAATTAGAGGAAAAAATAATTTTTTTTTTCATATTTGTGTTTTGTTACACAAGTATACATAAAAGAAACACAGTGCAACACATCATACTGTCAAAATATTTTTTTTTATCCTTTTTAACTATGCGGATATATCCGCTACCCGTCCTCGGGTGAGTAGAAATGCAGCGGATATATCCGCCACCTGTCTTTGAAGATATGACCATGACAACGTTAGGCAATAAATAAAGAACAATATGAATATGTAAACAATAAATAGAGACAATGTAATGTTGAGCGCGAAGGGGGGGGGGGCGTAGGAGTGGTGGTAGGTTCGTGGAAGGGGGTGAGGCGCAGGAGAGGGGTTAGCGCAGTAGAGAGGGGGGAGAGCGCAGTCATGGAAAGAGCAGGATATTGCCTTGGTTCCGCGAAACATCTGGTTACTGCTCAAGCACCTGCCAGTGTGTCTGAATAGAAGGCGGATACCACATAAGGCGGAAGGTTTAACCGCTTCCCGTCCAGAGCATAAAAAACCATATGCGGATATATCCGTCACCCGTCCTTTATCACCAAAGACTTATGCGGATATATCTGTCACCCGTCCGGGAAGGGTTAACAGACCATCGTCAACCTCAAGGACAAAAGTTCTGACAGTGGCCGAGGTCAAGACACCGTTGATGAATTTTTAAACCAGAAAAGGGTATTGTAACTAAAATAGATGATTCCAAAATTAATACTGAAGGTGTTCTATATTTTTTAATTTTTCATAATTTATTAATAGGGTGTCTACCAGTCGATCAAACTATGTTTCAGTGACTTAATTTCGGGGGGGGGGGGGGGGGCAGCATTAAAACACACAATCTCTGGTACTGATAAGACATACTTTTCATGAGATAGTTGGGCATACACAATTTTATACCGTAATGATCTCTAGCTGGTTGCCTACTCCCAAAATATGTTTGCTCTCTGATTCTGCTCTATGAAGATGCAAAACAATAGGCAGGTTTGGGCAAGTTTATTTTAGCTCTAGGCCTTATTTTTAGTGACTTTTCAGATCTTAAAATAAAAATCTGATACTTTTCAGTGACTTCCGTGACCCCCTTGTAAAATCTGTGACCAGGGCCCTGTTAAAGTACGTGGATTTAAAACAACAGTTTTAATTTGACAAGAGGTCGTCCAGTGGTCGAAAACTTGACCAAAAATATGTAATGTAAAAGACTTTTCTATTTTCACCCTACGCTGTAAAAAAACCATGTAATTAGAATTTCTTCAATTTGTTTTGATTTTCTGTATAAGTTATTATTTCATAACCAGCTTGGCATCACAAAAGGTCCATGTTAATTTTGTATTAATTTAAAATTCATTTTCTGTGCTTATTTTAATTTGTGAAGGGATTCTGCACATCTACAGGAAAACAACTTTCCAACAGTGTGCATAGAAGATTTTCTTTTTGATGCAAAGGAGCTGAGAAAAAAGGTTTTAAAGAAACATGCTTGCCTATCAATATATTTGATATTATTAGTATTCTGTTTATTTTAGGCTTTTACCAACGTTATACGTTGTGAATAATTATGTAGCCTACAGCATGGCAAAATCGGGGCTTTGTTAGAGTTTGATATTTTATTTGTCGACTTGTTAAAAATGACATTTAAAATACAACAGATCCGGATTTTTCGTGTATTTCTATGTCAAAATTTAATAGGCTACCATATTTCACAACAAGAGTAGAAAGTGAGGCATTATATTAGAGACCATGTTTGAAGTGCGAGATTTGTCGAGCACTTTAAATGCTTCATGTTGTTAGCCTCGGGATCACTGGTATAGTAATAAATAAATAATGGTATAAAAACCTTATACTGTCAAAGTGATCCTTTGTAGTCCAAATATAGGCTACTGCATATATAGTTGGACTACAAAGGATCACTTTGACAGTACAAGGTATTTAAACCATTATTTATCACTTTAAATGGTTGAGAATATGTATAGACCCACGATCACTCATGTTTTGAACTTTACTTTTCGTTACGCTACAAAGAATAATTTTTTTCTTCATTAAAAAACTCATAGAATTTGTTAGGTTATACCTTCAATTTAAACTTAACATTTACTTTAGTTGTTGTAAATTGAAACAGTTGATAAAACAATAACAAATATTTATTTGTTTACGTCGGCAAAATCCAAAAAAGATAGTAACATTACTTTCGCTTAGTATACATTCTTTTGTGTAGTTTTTTATGTTTCTTTTCTTAGTAGTTTATTAACTTTTTTGTGAACGGAGTATCAATATAATATTTCCACAACTGAATTCCTCACACAACTGGGTAAGAAAATAAAATACACAATTAAACTATTGTTTTTAATGTAATAGAAACATAAATCTATTGGTAATAAACTTTAGGACTAAATCATAATATTTTTAAAATAAACTAAACCATATTTTGATATAAGTTTAATAGAGAACGATAATAAAGAATCACAATATCAAATAAGAACTGAAATATTTGCTTAATTTGTTTGAGTCTATAACTTTCTATACATACCACGTAATTTGAAAAAATGTCCCCCGTCTTCATTCACACGTAATTTTTGTCACTATCACTAACACATTGTACTCAGAGGCACACGTAATTGCACACTTGTCGCAACATCGTAAGTCCAGTGTCCGTTCGTCATAAGTTCTTCTTGATGAACATGCGTCGATGTTTTAGTAGTAATACTTATGTACATAAATAACCAAAGCTACAAAATAGTCAACGCTGCTGTTCCAAATTATTTTCAATGGTCAACATGAAAAGGTCAAAATAAATTTACAACTCGCACAGTTATGAAACAACCAAAAATAATTTCCTTAGTTATCTTACTTCTCAAATGATTATTGCACAACTTATTTCAAAATGACCATTGAAAGAATTTTCAAACAAATTGGAAAACCTATAGCAGTAAGTTTATACAGACATTATTTACATACTAAATTACACTCACTAGATACAAAATACACAGATTATGTTAAAAGTTTGTCGTATCAGTCTTTAGTCATACATACTAGTTGTACATCACCTTTTTATGGATATTGAAATATTGGTAGAAAATATCTTTACATTTTGGTGTTATATGAGAAATAAACATTACAATTTTAGAATATAAGAAAATATTTCATGATTGTTTTCTATATATCACGTTTTGTTTTCAGTATTTTGTGTATTACTTTAGTCGTTTTATGGCTATCCCTTAATAGTTATTGCAGGTAAAAATTTTGATTACAATAGACCCTAATAAAATCATCATATACAATGTAATCAAACTGTGGCAAGCATAACTGACAACTCAACTTAGAGAAGTACATAACAAATTATGTTATTTTGTTTATATCAAATATACGCTAAGTCTTTTTGAAAGGCATAAATATAGTCTGTCATTTTAGTATAGGGATTCTTCAGAACAGATTAATCAAACAATTATTTTATTGTAAAAGATTGTACATTAGAATGAAATTAATACAGCTATCATCTTGTAATGCAACCTTTGTTTAACTGGCCTCAAATTATCTCAGATACTCTATTCCATTCTAAAAAACTTAACTGACCAAATGACTTAATTTGCCTTGAAATCAAATATATAATGTTTGACTTTTAAAAATGAATTAATAAATAAATGAATTATACAATTGAGATAGTCAAAATTTAAACAAAGCCACTAATTATTATTAAACTTGTACAAAATATGAACAATAGTGTTAAATTTTAACATACAATTGTATGAATTACAGTCAGTAACAGTTAGGAAAAGCAATAGTCACAATTCACATTAGAGAATTAGTAAAGCTAATTTTAAACATGTAAAACCTAATATAAATTATAATAAATAACAATGAAATGAATCATAACTTTTGTAACCAATATTTTACTGACATGACTAAAAAAAATCGTAGCACCAGACAGTTTGAATAAATTCTTTATTACACAATGTTTTTCTCAGTTTACGAGTCTGTAACACGTTAAGATACAAATCACCTGCAAACATGTTGTAAATTTTATCAATGGTAATTATTTACACAATTGTAAAAATGATATGAATATTCTTAAATTACAATAATTTAAATTAGCTAAAATTTACATGAGGTAGTCTTAGTATTTTAAGTAGTACTTCAAAAACAAATTATACAACCTGAATAATTGTCTTGTACAAATCCGTAATAAATTTACAAACTATTTTCCTTAGGCCTATCAATGGTTTAACAATTTTCACCTACAATTCAAACAAATCAAGAATTGAACTGTATCAATGTCTTAATGTAGGTTTAGTAAGCGTAACGTAGGATTACTCCTGACGATTAATTTCTAGAGTAATTCCATTATAAGTCGTAAGAATTACAGTCTAATTAAAAAATTCACAGGTAACTCGACACAGCCAAAATGACCGAGAATTTTGGCGCACAAAAGTAGTTGAAACACTTCAGTAAATGTAACGTATAGTAAAGTCTCGTCGTAATTGTGCACACTCACTTGCGAGGGACATTACATTAGAATATAGGTAAAATAATTGCATCATGTTATATATCAGTTAAATTTCTACAGTTTAATTCAACTGTTACTAATCAAAATCTATTAAATTTATAAAAGTAATACTTTTATTTTCAGGAAAAGTTATATCTATCCTGATAAAAAAACAAAAAAAAAAACACATTAATCTTACGGCAAACAAATTACTTTTGAAGACGTTTTAAACTTCAAATGTGACCCATTATTCTAGTGCTAAAATATTGAATAAAAAAAATAAACAATATTTTAAACCAAAAATTTGCACACATCGACCCAGCAAATTTGTAAAATGTTAATTAACCTCGTAATTATTTTACCTACAAACTTACAAGTAAATGTTTGTTACGTTTTGTCAATAAGTAATAACAGTAAGTGAAATAGGTTACAAAATCATTATTATATCTATCAATCTCACACTATTTTTTCTATTTGAATATTCTTAAAAAGTCTATTCTAATAATTTTCTAATAAAAAAGAAAGAATTCTAGTATTTTTACTAATTTTCACTTGCAAACAGAAAAATCCTACTGTTGCCTTAGGAATACCTTCAACTGAAATATCAACTTGGCAATCATTGAGTGAAAACTACCTATTCAAAATTATGAAACTATACTTTCAATTGATTTTTATCTTTATGTTGGATGGACTAAGAATATCCAAACAGAAAAGCATTATCTTATTATTGTTTTACACGTAAAACACATTGATGTTGATTCATCTGAAGCTGAATATTTTTATTCAAATTTCTTCAGAGAAGCAGCGTGGAAGATTTACAGCTTAACCTGAAACAAAATTAATCATCATAATTTATAAACGTGATTAGGTCTATTATATTATAATAATTATTCAGGCGGTTTGAGTGGAAGTGATTCCATCCCCTCCACCTCACTCTTACGTAAAAGCAACAGTCAACAGCTGATCAGCTGATATACAGAGTGAACCAGCTAAAGTGTGACAATAGCTAACTTTTTTAATATGAGAAGGACAGTTAACTTCTTATAGGACACTCCCCTTTAGGGATGTTATAAAAATCCTTATGCAACAACCCTGTATTTTATGATTGTTTTAGAATTCAAATGCAATTTAAAAACCTTTTTATTCTTGACACTTTGTCTAAAGCTCGTTTTAGGAGTTAAGAGTATGTTACACCTAAGAAAAAATTACTTGCGATGTAGGCCTACACTCTGCAAAACCATAAACATCACTCAGGGCCATGTAGACTTCATCAACTTTCTCGGTCACGAAAACCGTCATCATTACTATGCCATGTGTAGCCTAAGGAGCAGACAATTGTCAGTGTCAATGGATAGCTTAACCTTGAAGCTTTGATTGACATTCCTTTGTTTTGCTTCCATTTTATTTTTTGTCAAATGAACTGTGATTTTTCAAAAACAATAATGTGGTAGCCTACTTATTATTAATAATGGGCAGAAATGGTTAAATATACAACAAATTTAAACACATTAGACTAAAAAAAACACAATTTATAAAGTTTACTAGGTATTTTTCATGGACAATGTGGTTATGTTAGTGGAAGCCTATTGTATTGGCGGCACAGTCGGATCAAGCGAGGCGTCAGGCCATCGGAGGTCGGATTAGCGAGGTTCTACTGTACTCATTTTTGTTCTTGACCTCGCAACCCACCTATCCGGAAGGAGTTAGGTTGTCATTCCCTACCTAAGATATTGATTCATGCTGATAGAACCTGATAGTACCTTTTTAAAAGTTGAAGCCGCCCATGGGCACGCTCTGGTCTGTAGCGAAGGTGAACTGTTCACCTTGCTGTGACGGAGCTACTCTGGCGTCCTCGTCCTCGCTGCCAAAGTAATGTTCAATTATATCAAACGCCTTCTGGTAGATGTCCATGTTCTCATGTGATTGTAGGAACTCGATCTTATCCAGTCCTGCAAAACACACAATTAAGGGTTAGACAATGATACAATCAACTCAAGGAGGCCACCATTGGGCTATCGGAAACGGTAAGAGTTAGAGAAAACTTTTGGAATTTATTATGGAACACCCTTATATATTTTATTAAATAAATAAATAAATATTTTATACTAAATATTTCTTATCTTAAATATTTTATGATATTTTTGGAATGTAGATGCAATTTTAAGACTTATTTACATTTAGCATTTTCACTATAAACTTACTCGTTTAGGAGCTACATGATGCAACATGTACACCGGAAGTCATTTTTGTATAGGCTGTAACTCCTAAACGAGTGGGGTTATGAAAAAAATGTCAAGAATAAAAAGGGTTTTAAATTGCATATTCTATCCGAAAACATGATCAAATATGAAAAGGGTGTTCCATAAGAAATTTCAAAGTCCTGCTTCTTATCTCTCCCACAATGTAAACTTCTTTATTCAACACTCTTAATTCCTGGTTATGCCTTATCCTCCATTCACCGTTGTCTAGTATTGGGCCAAAAATTGTTCTTAAAATCTTGTTTTCAAATATACTATTATTTTCCTTCTTTTTGTTGAGCATTCATGGTTCTGAGCCATATTTTGATCTATTCTTGCAAATAAAAAACCCCTAAATTAGCAAATCAGTATAATACAACAAATTGTAGCCACAAATTTCAAAATGTTGAAATACAAACAATACCATATACAATACTAACCATAGCACTCCTCAATGAGAACAGCGTACGGGTTGACAGTTCCAGAGGCCTTGGCATCTTGCTCACCCAGCCTCAAGATATTCTCCAGTCCGTTGAGAGCAACCTGGATGATCTTGGCGTCCATGACAGTCAGCAAATCACACAGCGGACCAATGCAGCCCTGACAACCACACTACATGGAATCAGAACGTACATAACTACCCAAACTGATATTTAGTTTCTAACCCTGAAACTTATAAAAAATCATATAGGATAAAAAAATTCCCGTTGTAGTAATGTCACAAACTAATAAAATCATAAAATACACCTTCAAACAACCAGAAGAATTAGCTGGCTGGTACGCTAATGTTATTAGGATTGTGTGAAAATAGATTTTGGATTCTAAATGAAAACTTCATAATAGGCTAATTAAATATTGAATATTTGAGGGCAATTTACTATATTATTATACCCACCAAAAGTGAACAAAGGTCAAACAGAAGTTACAGATGACATGGGCCTACATTAAATTTGATCTAGGCCTATTTAAGTTAAAATATATCGTTTTAATTCAGCATCACATTAGATTTCAGTGCATTAGTAGAAGCCTAAGTCAGAGGGGTTACAATTCCAGGGCTAAAATTCCACTCTGTAGACAGATCAAATGAGCGTTAGTTCTAAATGAAGGGGGTACAATTCCGGCCTGTCCAGTTTTTTAGATGATGGATTTAACAAAACCACTTGTGCATGCCAATATCAAAGTTTTATGAGGGTGCACAATTCTGACTTGGACATGCCGATTAGGTCGAGAAAATTATACCCGTCATTACCCTGGGTGGAGTACAATTAAGCCTTCCCTCCCCTGAATCGACTATGTTTGTATGAAATAATGTTATAGCATCACGGATATGATAATGCCGTGACCCTCTAGGTATAGCCTGAAGTAATAAATGTGTAAAGTGATTCTGGGCTAGAACCTAAGGTCCTAGAGTGTAAAGGTGGAACATTACCTGGTTGACAAGATAGCGTATCTGTTCTGCAGTTCCGCCTGACGTAGCGTTGGTGATGGCCCACGCAGCTTCCTTGCGAGTTTTGAACTCGGCTGAGCCTAAAATCTCCATCAGGACTGGGAAGATGTTTGCATCTATCACCGCCTACAATCAAATAAAAAATGAGTGTCTAACACGTCCTAGAGCCGCTCTGATCGGTTCCAGGAATGATTATTTGAAGATTACTCTACTACGTTTAATCTCTGATTGCCACCAGTGGGGCTGAGAGTTGCAGAAAACAACAAAACGCAATTGTTCTAGTGTTCTGCAATAACTTTTATTGTAATCTATCATTACAGGTAACCAAAGGGTGTCTACCAAACATCTTTGAATGTCTGGATGGTTTTTGTAAATGGAAAAAAAAGATTTATCAGGATTGACTTTAAGCAATCAGTTCTCCAATGTTTAAGAATCGGTGTACCTGTATCTGCTGACGGTTGCCGGCAGTGATGTTGGAGATGGTCCAGCAAGCCTCTTTGCGAATGGACTCCTTGGTGGACATCAGCAGTTCCAACAGACAAGGCAGCACAGAACAGTTGAGAATCACCTGAGTCTGAACATCGTCACCTGTCACTATGTTGCCTACAGCTCTCAGTGCGGCAGACACCACGTTGTGTTGGTTGTGCCTAGAACAAGTCAATTATTGTACAGTGTGTAAATAGTCGATTGAGGAGGCAGGGGGTGGTACGTTTAATTCTCAACTAGTTAGTGCCATAGCTGGAGAGCTGAGTGTCTAGGCAAAGCACATTTTTTAATAATGTAGGCCTACTCATTAATAATGCTAATTAGTAATGCTTAAGGGTGTTTGGTCAAAAATTTGATGTCTTATTTTTTGTTATTGTTCAATTGTACTAAAAATTAGAGATACAAATATATAAGAAAAAATTTTTTATTTTGAATATTAAGCGAGATATGGAGCTTGAAAGTAGTAAATTTTTAATCTTTGGTACCAGTTCACAGGGAGAATGGGTAATGCGATTCTCACCAAAATTTGCATTCAGGTGTGGAAAAATAAGATAATAATCACTAGCTATTTAAAATTAAAAAATTTAAAAAAAAATTATTTTTTATTTTTTATAAATTTTTTAAAAAATTAAAAAAAAATTTTAAAAAAATTTAAAAATAGCTCTTTGTTTTTGGGAAAAATGTATCTGTATGTTGGAATAAAAAGAAATGTGATATGTTAACTCGTTTGGGCTGTGAATTCGTACCTTTGATGCCTTGCGCTGTCGGAGCACTACTCGTTGAGAGTGTGTACACTAACACCGGGGCTTTAGAATACAACGATAAACGTATTCTTTCAATGTTAAAGGATGTTAATAATTACGTGATGTTAAAGTATTCTAAAGCCCCGGTGTTAGTGTACAAACTCTCAACGAGTAGTGCTCCGACAGCGCAAGGCATCAAAGGTACGAATTCACAGCCCAAACGAGTTAACATATCACATTTTTTTTTATTCCAACATACAGATACATTTTTCCCAAAAACAAAGAGCTATTTTTAAATTTTTTTAAAAATTTTTTTTAATTTTTTAAAAAATTTATAAAAAATAAAAAAAAAATTTTTTTTTAAATTTTTTAATTTTAAATAGCTAGTGATTATTATCTTATTTTTCCACACCTGAATGCAAATTTTGGTGAGAATCGCATTACCCATTCTCCCTGTGAACTGGTACCAAAGATTAAAAATGTACTACTTTCAAGCTCCATATCTCGCTTAATATTCAAAATAAAAAATTTTTTCTTATATATTTGTATCTCTAATTTTTAGTACAATTAAACAATAACAAAAAATCAGACATGAAAATTTGCGACCAAACACCCTTAAATTACTACTTAGGTTTGCTGCAAAAGGAAATAAAGTGTATTTTTAGTAAAATATTAATAGCTTTGTACGAAATAAATAAATTTGCCAAGTTGTATCGAAATATAAAATATAGCCTCTTTATAAACAAGTAAACTACAGCTAAGTTATGTACTTATTCTCCGTGAAATAACATGGGTATTTTGAATTAGAATATTTTTTTAATTTTCTCCGTAACCAATAACAGTACACAAACGCTTCAATATACTAAACTATTTTTATTTAAAGTTCTTCAAAATGGCTTGGAGGGAAGTTAGAATATTTTCTGTTTTGATGGTCAAAAATGAGGAAAACCAATATTTACCCCATAAACCCCGTTCCCATGGTCCAATCATGCTGGTTCGTAAACTCATTGGAATAAACGTATGTTTACACGTTTGTACCAAATTTCATAAAAAAATCGGATGATTTTTGCTCGAGTTATCGTGCTTAACGTAAACATAATATACGGATGGTGTATAACCTTAGGGGACATCAACACGAAAAAGAAATCGGTCCAGGGTCAAGGTCTTACAATGAGACCTACGATAATAGCTTATTTGCTCTATGGAAAATTCACTAAAACACAATTTTAACTATGATACTATTGCTTAAGAAATTTTATGTATTTGTAAACTGAAAGGTTAGTGTTTGAATGTCACCGCATAAAAATTATCTAGATGAGATAGTAAACAAAGGGAATCGTTAATCAAGTTTTGTAGGCTTACATGAGCAACTCCACAAGCCTACGGCACACTCCTGCATCAATGACTGCTTGTATCTTGTCGTTGGGTCCGTCACTGAGGTAGCTGAGAGCCCAGCAGGCGTCCGCCAACACGTCCGCATCAGAGTGGAACAGCAGACGCGACAGGACGGGAAGACAAGGTGAAACCTGTACACAAACGTTTAATGTAGGCCTAAGCCAGTCAACTAGTCTAACCATTACACTATTGTAACATAGAGCTCTAGGGCCAACAGTAAGGATAGCAGGGGTTCCTTACAGTAGGCCTAATGGGAATGAGCCCAAACAGGTACAAAGAAACACAAAACATTAACCTATAAACACAAAATATTGGAATATTTCACTCTACCAGTACTTAAATGGTATCAGTAAATTATCAGTTTGCCACCTTAAAAAACCTATATAACCATAGTGTGGAATAAAATTATACATTATATCGTAAAGGGAAGTCAGCAAAAGGAATATTCACCTTCAGGAAAAGGCCTACTCAAAGAATACTTGCCTTAAGCCCCGTTTCCATCAAACATTTTCTGCTCAAAACATTGTTGTCAGCTAAACTCACAACAAAGTTGGAGTAAAATGTTGAATGGAAACACTAGCATAATGTTTTGAGCAGTGTTGGCCAACAAAAAGTGTTGGCAGCCGTTGCAGCTGACAACATTGTTGTGAGCTGTGCTCAAAAGGTAATGGAAACGGTGTCCAGCTGCCAACACTGCTGTGAGCAGAACTCGCACTTGCTCTGTGTGAGTAGTTCCAGCACATCCACCGCAGCACCATCGCACCTCTAGCCTAGCAGACGGGTTAAACACCAACAACACCACTTGTTTTTGTAAATGGTGTAAACGTAAACATTCTTGTCTCGTGTCGGTGTATCTTGTTGTGTTGGGCTTTTGGACGGTATAGTGAGGCCATGGCGATGTCAAGTCAAGATTGGGGAAAAGACGAAGTGTTAAAGATGATATCTTTGTATGAAAGTGAGACAGTGTTGTGGGATGTGTCTTACAGCAAGCACAAAAAACTAATAAAAGGAGTGATGCCATCCAAGTATCTTAATGTAGCTTCTAACATTTCGCCAGCTGATATGGGACCGCGCTCACCATGTTTAGCGATTAGAGGAGCCACCAAGTTTAGTAATTCTTCAAAGTCAGTTGCCGTCATTCGTACAAAATTTTGGGATCCTGCTCGAAGTCTTAAATCCCTCATAAGGGGGTTGTAGGCACCTTCAACGGCCCTTTTAGAAAAAAAAACTCCTAACCTACCATCGCGGTCGCTTTCTGCGTTTTAAACTAATTAATTGGTGATATGCACCAGCCATTACGACGAAAGCAGCAGCAGCAGCAGTCTCTTCGCTCTCCATGATGAAGGAGCACTGGTGTAGATAGGTGTGTGGGTGTGGATGGTTATGGTAGCATAGATAAAAGGAGTATATGGTAGTGAAATGTGCTCGCAGTAGGTTGGCGGGAAATGTTGACGCGAAATGTTGGCGCGAAATGTTGGCGCGTACTGCTGGAATGGAAACAGCGCGCCAACATTGTTGGGAGCTGTGCTCAAATCAACTTGAACTTAGCTCCCAACATTGTTGGTACAAAATGTTTGATGGAAACGGGGCTTCATGATGACTTTAAAAATAAAAGCATTGAGATAAAGGAAATAATAAATTAAATGCCAAATCTTGTCTGTCTTTTGAATTTCTTAACGAAGAGCACTTTAATTAAGATATGACAATTCTTTCATGCATAGTAATTATGAGCTGTAGATATATCGTATATATGTCCTTTTAAAAGAATAAAAAACAGTTTATTTACGCAGCAAAGCTTAGTACAGTGCTAAAAAATATCGTCAGAAATAGTTAGCTATGTCAGCCTTTCAATTTTGTGACAGAACATAGGAATAAAAGAGATATTTGAATAATAGTTAGCCTACACATGCAAATATTTTAAAAAAGAGTGACTAGCCTATTTTTTAGATTAAGAAATTTAGGTTACCTTGGCAAAGTTGGGTGCTGGGTTTTTGCCACGGCACAGATTAGAAAGAGCCCAAACTGCATTCCGGACCATTGTCAATCTGCTGGATTTGCTGAGCAGCCTACGCACAAACAACAATTAACTTACAGATTTTTGATAAAAATTTAGGTTAGGACACATGTCTTGCATACATTTAGACTTAGACAGCATGCATTAGACTAATAAAAAACAAGTTTTATAGAACGTCTGTTTAACCAGTAAACCTGTTATTCGGTCTGGGTCCCTGAGGAGTTCGGATAAGAGGGAGTCTACTGTAGCTAGCAAAAGGCGGAAGACCAGGGTTTATATTCAATTTAAAAAATAACCATGCTATAAAATGCTGAAGTTGAAGAAACACGCTAAATAAAACAAAATTACTAGGGAATATCACATTTATTGCAATGGTGGTTGTGCCAACTGTTCTTGTGGACCTTGAGAAGGTGCTAAAGCACATTTTACATGATACACATTTTCTCTTTCATGATTTGGAATTTGACATTAGTAGTTAAAAAGAAATGGTAAAAACTGTACGAGAATAAGTAAGTTTAAATACTTTAATACTTTTCAATAAAATGGCAACCACACAAAGTAGAAGAGTGTTGCCGGTCTTGATATTTAAAGAATAGCTAGTACCACTGTAACTTCCATTTGTAAAATCTAATTCTGGAACAATACTAACAGGGCCGTGTTAAGGGTTAGTGGAGCGTTGGGCAAACCCAAAAGCAGTGCCTTCATTTTTTCCTAGTGCGGGCACCCGGTGGGCGCCCCCAAACCTTCAGCCTGAATACTAAGAAAAGAAAATCACACGAGACAAAAGATTTCCAGTCATACAATATAGAAAAACCCAATATTAAGAAGAAAACATCTTCAAAAAATGGAGAGGAAGAGGGGCTTTGATCTATAGAGAAGAGGATTTTCATAGCTGAGTAAAAACATAACCTAAAAAGTAAAACACTTACTGTAGCAATGGTACGAGGATGCCAGAGTCCAAGACATGGTCTCGACACTCAGGACTGTCGCCAGCTATGTTGCCCAACGCCCAGACAGCTTGTTCCTGGACGTCCTCGTACTCGGAGTTGAGCAGCTGCACAAACACAGCAACCGCACCAGCCTCTATCACCATCCGAGTCTGCACACTGGTGCCAGATGCAATATTGGTGAGGGCCCACGCCGCCTCAAACTGTCAAATAAGTTATTTTATTTGTTTTGAAATTTCTGAGCAGACAAAATAAATATTCCCCTGTCAAAATATTATAGGTTTGATAGTTCTAGAATAATTTCTCATCCTGACGATCTAAAATAAAAACAAAATACAGGCCTAAAAACATATTCGTCCCACAAACCTGTAACGTTGCATTGCTGTTGTTTTGCAGGAACTCGACAAAGCGCGGCACGATGCCAGTCTGAATAACCTCGTCGATAGGAGGGTTGGGTTCGCGAGAGAGCAGCTTGCGGAACTTTTGGGTGGCGTCTAACTGGTCGTCCACGCTGGAGCTGTAGAGAGCCTGGACCATGGCTGGAGTGATGACTGGGCTCGACACCAAACCCAGCATGTCCTCCTGTCAAAGTACGATTATATTGAGTTAGGAGAGTGTGATCGATTCTGAAGAGACCGACCATATTTAATAATCCATGAGCTTACCTTAAGGCCTAATCCAATGAAATAAAAACCATTAGTCTATTAATAAGCCCCATGATGGCTTTACTATTCTAAAATTTTGAGCTAGGCCTAATGCACTAAATTGCATTAATTTAATGCAGAGATAGGCCCTAATTACTAGTTACATAGATTTTTAACGAACTAGCTGTGAGAATAGAAAAACAGGACTTTAAGTGCATGCTTAGGACTACTACAGTCCTGAGCAAACACAACGCATCATAATTTAAGCTAAATAGGCTCTGTTACCTGTTACACCTGATGAGCAACAGGCCTACATTTATTAACTCGACTAAAAATATGTAATGTACAGACTTCTCTGTTTTCACCTCACACTGTAAATAAAACATGTAATTGGAATTTCTTACATTTTTTAAAAATATATTTTAACTGTTTATATTTTGTTGCTATTTTGTCGCCAGCATGGCAACCCATAAGACCCATTTTAATTTTTTTTTTATTTCATTTATTGTTCTTACTTTTGAGCCCATTTTAATTTATAAAGGGACTCTGCACACCTACAGGAAAACATCTTTCTAACAGTATGCGTAGATTTTCCCTGCAATTCACACGAGCTGAGAAAAAGGTTTTAAAAAACATGCTAGCCTATTAATATATAGATAATAAAGAACAAATGCATCACACCTTTCATACGCCCGACTAGTTTTATTATTTAAATGTGTTCACACCCATAAATTTTAGTCTTATGTTATGTCCTAGATAACAATTTAAAATGCATAGGAAATAGCAAAATAAACCAGAATCAAGATTTTAAGAATCTCAACAGCTATTTTTACCTGCATTGTGTCCGCCTCATCTGACAACAAAGGAATATTAACATTTCTTCGCTTAGACAGCTGCTGCTCTCTCTTCTGTTTTCGCAACTGAACTCCCTCTTCCTCCCTTCTTCGCCTCAGCTCCTGAGCGTCTAAACCGGTGTTTTTGTATCGATACTTGTGGCTTGGGGCAGACATCTAGAATAACAGACAAAGTGGTTTACTTACTTACTCCCTCGACGTCGTTGACCAGCTCTTGCTGGATAGACATATAAATCTATGTAACATAGATTTATAATTTTGGCGGCAGGTTAGACGCAAATTTTACAAAACTCATCTAGGGAGTACAAAGGCCTTGGTCATGACAAAAACTTCAATCCTTTGGATGCAAACATCTAGCCTATTGCGATTACCGTGACCATGGGAACATATATGAACTAATACAAGAAGTTGTCCCGTGGTCTAAAACTCAACCAAAATATGTATTGTCATGGACAAATAGAATAAATATAGACTGTCAAAGGAAGGTTCCGCGATGTGCAGCTTTGTTCCTCGCTGTATGCTTCCAGCAGACGCTGCAGCGGTGTACGTCGTTACTACACGGCAATCCTAGCCGAGGACGCCAGAACTTATACTAACCACAGCCCAGCTGACAGTCTATATATATTTTATTTGTCTATGGTATTGTGCAAACTTCTCTATTTTCACTCCACGCAGTAAATAAAACATGTGATTGGAATTTCTTCCATTTGTTTTGATTTTCTGTTTATATTTTGTCACCAGCATAAACCCATGACCCATGTTAATTTTATTAAAATTTAAAATTCATTTTTTTGCTTGTTTTTTGGCCCATTTTAATTTATAAAGGGATTCTGCACATCTACAGGTAAATATCTTTCTAACAGTAGGTATGCGTAGAATTTCCCTGCGATGCATACGAGCTTAGAAAAAAGGTTTTACAGAAACATGCTCGTCTAATAATATAGCCTAGGGAGATCACTAGAAAATAAATTTATGCTGAAAATAACGGTACAAAAAGGTTTTTTGCGCTCTCAAGTATTAACAGAACTAAGGACATTTAAGTTTAGAGCACTTTGGAGTCTACACTGCAATCATTTTTAAAATATGTTGCAGTGTCTTATCCAGTGTTTTAATTAGACAAAAAAAGTCTGGAGATAACATAAAAACTAGATAACATAACAACTTTGTTCATTGTAACCTAAACTTTACATTCAATCCAACTTAACTTCAAAACACTTAATACCTCCCATCCTAAAACGCCTAAATTACGCTTCTAAAAGGCTAAAACGCTACTAGGTGTAGGGCCTAATTAGTCAGCCAGCTCATTTATATCTCTAAAATATCATTGACTAATGGTTCACTTTACAAGTGTTTCTACATTCAATGATAATTTTCTATATTTTAATAAACGATAGGCTTTTCTTAAATCTTCCCATCATTTCTCAACTTACTTCCACTTCACCTTCACTTAGTTATGTTAGCAGCGAAGAGACGCCATTGTTGATTGACAGATGTCCAAAATATTATTCAGGCCTATTTAATAAGTTATTTGATCAGCTAGAAATTCACTTGAGTTGAAAATGATGGTTTAATAAGATTCACGAGGTAAATAAAATTTTAGAATAACAATTTGATATTTGCGCGTAGGTAGACCTAAATGAATCCAATTAATAGGCTAGTAGGCTTCTGTTTCTTCAGATGATTGGTCATACCGTTGAAAATAGGCTAGGCAACGTTTCGCGATTGAGCAAACATCCCTAACCACATTTCTTACACTTCACTAATTTGCTGAGAAACTGAGAATACTACTATATTCTAACTAACCTCATCTTCATTCAGGGTGTCTAGTTTATTTCCATTATAAAATTCAAGACTAATTCCAGACTTTTCAAGACTAATTCCAGATTTTTCAAGACTAGTTTCTTCAAAAACTAGTGGGTGTTGATACCAAAATGTATCGATTCTCGATTCTTGATACCGATACCAATTTTTATAGATTAACCAAATTTTCTAAATAATACTACACCAACCCCTGTCTTTGTCATAAAGTAGTATTATGATAATGTGGTGTTTTCAAGTAAAGAAATAATGCAGCAAGAAAAAATTCTAACTAGCAAATTTGGTTTTTGTTATCATGAAATCTTTTGCGTACCGTACTTGAGTGCCTCCGTGTCATGCCTGTTTCTTATGCATAAATTGCCAAGCTAATTTCAAAGGAAAATGCAGCAGTTGATATAAAATGCCATATAAATTCCCATATTAACTTTATCTAAATAATATAAAAGGCAAAGCCCTCACTGACACACTCACTCACTCACTCATCACTAATTTCTAAATATATAAAAGGCAAAGCCCTCACTGACACACTCACTCACTCACTCATCACTAATTCTCCCACTTCCCATTTACCTAGGAGGCTGAAATTCGGTACACCGATTCTTTGGACATTAAATAGGAAAACTAAGTAGTTTTTATTCTGATCGGGCTTTCGGGTTCCGCCCCAGTGGCTCTGGAGTTTCCCATGTTAACCTTATGATTTGTCATATTTAAAAGGAATTAATGAATCTTAACAGCTGTTTCTATTAAACAAGTTGGTTCTGTTCTATGATGTTCAATAGCATTAAAGTTACAAGGATTACCAACAGGGTGCAGCACTATTACTTTTTTATTTTATTTATGACAACAGCTAATTTGCAACCAAAAGGTGAGTGAGCGTAGAGAACAAACTTCAACCTGGAGGCGAGTTAGCGTAGCGAAGGCGCTAACCCGAAGGCAAGTGAGCGCAGCGAACGAACTCCAACCTAAAGGTGAGTGAGCGTAGCGAACGATCTTCAACCAGGACGTGATTGAGCCATGTGAATACTTATGAAGTTAAACGGGGCAAAGCCCGCGGGTACAGCTAGTTTATTCATATTTGCAAGGAATAAAAGAATTTTGTCAGCTGATTCATTTAAATAGGCCTACACAAGTTGGTTCTATGATATTAAATAGCATTAAAAGTTATAAGGTTTAAAGGTTTACTAACAGAGTGCAGCACTAAGTTACCTATTATTTTTGTGCATTTATGACAACATCCAATTAGAACCAACTAGCAACAAAAACCTGTGAAAAATGAGGATTTCGCTTTTTTATTGTAAAGGGGCAGTGGTAGAACATTATGGCTATGGTAGATGTGCTATACTATAGCATACCGTAAATTAAAAGAACCAAATTTTCTGTTAACCCAAAAAATTACTTAACTTAATTAATTAAGGGTCAATCCATATCAAGTGGTCCAGAAATAAATTAATTAGTTGCTTCAAAATTTTTAATTTTTTTTTATCTTTTTATACTTGAAAGTAGGCCTACATATCAGTAGAAGTACAAAAATACAATTATTTTATTTTTATGTTATTTTTCTACTGTATGGCGGCCATTTTTTTGTTAGTCGAATGCCCATCTTCAGCGATTTCAGAGCTTTGCGTTAAATTAAATATTTCTGGTTCTACTAATCCTAGAACATTAAAATAAAAACCAATCTCTTCAGAAAGATCTAAACTTTAACGCAACGATGTTACAAAAACAGATTTTTAACAATTTATTTTTACATAAAGCAATTGACTAGATGTGTTTGTTATTTTTTTATCTGATAGTTACAGGTGTGTAGGCCTACTCCAAATTCTCAAAATTTCAGACTGTGGACTTCCATAGGGATTAAAATAAAATTTTTCTAAATCTTAAAATTTTCAAAATTTCAAAAGTTTGAAGCTTAATATCTCTCTGCTGGGCATGAAAATAAAAATTTTAAATTTGGCTCAGGTATAGTTCTAAGGGTATTATCCTGTAATAATTTTATTTTGTGGACTCAACTGGTTTTAAAGTTATGGAACATTGAAAAGTAGGTAGGTACTCAAATAAATAAGCATTACGTGTAATAGCGTGTAATAGCACTATTATATTATAATGAAGTTCGTTCGCTACGCTCACTCACCTTTAGGTTGGAGCTCGTTCGCTCCGCTCACTTGCCTTCAGGTTAGCTTGTTCGCCACGCTAACTCGCTTCCAGGATGAAGTTCGTTCGCTACGCTCACTCACCTTTTGGTTGCAAATTGGCTGTAGTCATAAATTTAAAAAAATAATAGTGCTGCACCCTGTTGGTAATCCTTGTAACTTTAATGCTATTGAACATCATAGAACAGAACCAATTTGTTTAATTGAAACAGCTGTTAAGAAATTACTTTTAACTATGAAAAATCATAAGGTTAACATGGGAAACTCCAGAGCCACTGGGGCAGAGCCCGAAAGCCCGATCAGAATAAAAACTACTTAGTTTTCCTATTTAATGCCCAAAGAATCGGTGTACCGAATTTCAGCCTCCTAGGTAAATGGGAAGTGGGAGAATTAGTGATGAGTGAGTGAGTGAGTGAGTCAGTCAGTGAGGGCTTTGCCTTTTATATATTTAGATGCAACACTATATAGGCCTATATTGATTTTTTAAATAATGTTATATTTTAATAATAGATTTTGATGTTTTAAGACACTCTACTACTTGATGTCTGCAACTGGTACAAATCTGTGAAAGGATTGTGTTCAGGGAATTGGTAGACGTCCTTTGAATCAAAATTGAAGTTCTATAATACATTTGTTACTACTTCTTCACTGTCTACAGAAAAGTATTGAATACCTTTAAAGTTTTTTTTTTTTAACAAATGTTTAACATATCCTTAGCATTCAAAATTTCAATGGTACATTGTAGACTATTAGCGACTTCGCTCTTTGCAGTGCCTCCTACACCATTGCAGGCATTTTTTCTGTGCGCAGTATAAAAAAAAATCCTGGCAGCTGGTGTTTTAGTACCTGTGACTGAATATTTCAGTAAAAAAAAAACGTTTTATGCTACTGTATAGCCACGGCCACCTTCAAATCCAGGCCCCGGCCTGGTAGAATTTACCTACAGCGTCATAAGTAGTATTGTTTAGCGCCAGACGTCTCAAAATATAACATGGCTGGATTGTGTATTATTAACATTAAATTTTTAACATTTGTAAAAAAAAAACTTTTAAGGTATTCAATACTTTTATGTAGACAGTGAAGAAATAGCAACAAATGTATTATAGAACTTCAATTTTGATTCAAAGGACGTCTACCAATTCCCTGAACACAATCCTTTCACAGCTTTGTACCAGTTGCAGACATCAAGTAGTAGTAGTGTCTTAAAACATCAAAATCTATTATTAAAATATAACATTAGGCTATTTAAAACATCAAAATCTATTATTAAAATATAACATTATTTAAAAAATCAATATATAGTGTCACATCTAAATATATAAAAGGCAAAGCCCTCACTGACTGACTGACTGACTCACTCACTCAAATCACTTATTCTCCCACTTTCCATTTAGGCCTACCTAGGAAGCTGAAATTCGGTACACCGATTCTTTGGGCATTAAATAGGAAAACTAAGTAGTTTTTATTCTGATCGGGCTTTCGGGCTTTGCCCCAGTGGCTCTGGAGTTTCCCATGTTAACCTTATGATTTTTCATAGTTAAAAGTAATTTCTTAACAGCTGTTTCAATTAAACAAATTGGTTCTGTTCTATGATGTTCAATAGCATTAAAGTTACAAGGATTACCAACAGGGTGCAGCACTATTATTTTTTTAAATTTATGACTATACAGCCAATTTGCAACCAAAAGGTAAGTGAGCGTAGCGAACACACTTCAACCTGGAAGCGAGTTAGCGTAGCGAACGAGCTAACCTGAAGGCAAATGAGCAGAGCGAACGAGCTCCAACCTAAAGGTGAGTGAGCGTAGCGAACGAACTTCATTTAAATATAATATTATGCTTCCAACGCTATTACACGTAATGCTTATTTGAGTACCTAACTTACTTTTCAATGTTTCATAACTTTAAAACCAGTTGAGTCCACTAAATAAAATTATTACAGGATAAGTTTAATAGGTAATTATTTGGACGTAGTGACTACTCGCAAAAGTGAATTTTTTTTTTCATAATGACCTAAATTTCACACTGAATCCGAAAATGATGTTTTTATTTTTCGGAAAATACCGGAAATTCCAGAAAAAAGGAAAAACGGGAAACATTTTTTTAACTCAAAATACGTCATGTGGGTAGGCCTACTCAAAATACGCGGAATATTGTGATGATTAAGAATATGCAAGAATTTTTTTTATCCGACGTCAAATAAGCGAGATTTTCACAAAAATGTGCGATGTTATTTTGGATTTTTTGTCCAACTTTTGTCTGTGTTAAAATACCAGCTGATCAGCTGGTCCTGGTCATTATTTTATTATTAATGTTTATGTTAGATTGAGTTAGGTTACGTTAGGTTGAGTTAGGTTAGGTCAGGTTTGGTTAGGTAAGGTTAGGTTAGTTTACTTAGAATACTCATGTTATTGATAAACTAACCCAACCAAACTTAACCTAAACTAACCTAACCTAACCTAACCAAGCCTAACCTAACCGATTATTCAGTTTTTTCGCCCTATCTCCGGTGTTTTTCATCGGATCAAAATTTTTTTTTCTTCTTTTTTTACTTTTTCCCGTTTTTCGGGAATTTCCGGTATTTTCCAAAAAATAAAAACGTCATTTTCGGATTCAGCGTGAAATTTAGGTCATTATGAAAAAAAAAATTCACTTTTGCGAGTAGTCACTACGTCCAAATAATTACCGTTTAATACCCTTACTTAGAACTATAGGCCTACCTAAAACTTTTGGTTTTCACATTACACAAATACAATAAGTTAGCTCAACCTAAGTTAACTAGCAGGTCTGTCTGTGCTTCTCACTATTGCTGAGAGACTAAATACAATTTTTTTTTAACTCAAAACTTGCATTAAACAGATATTTTTCATTTGAATGAGTAGGCTATAGAATGTAAAGTAAAGTGCAGCCACAACAATACTTAGGCAAGGCTAAGTTAACTATTTTTAAGCTAAATAATCAATCTAGGTATATGCCTACTAACTGATTAACATTTGTTCTCACAAACTGGGACCTTCGCTGACTCATAAGTTAGGCTAGGTCTACAGATATTGTCACAACTTTTCAGTGTCTTAGGCCAAAAGAAAAGCAAAAATGTTAAACTTTGATTAACATTTTGGTAATAAAGTAACTATAAGTAATCTATTTACAAAATACTAGGAAGAGGATGTCGACTCTATGGTATCAAGGACTTGTAGAATACCCAGGTCCAGCTGGGCTTTAGGTAGGCCTAGCCTACCACTTTACTTAGGTTTCATAATAACTTAAACCCCTAATAAACCTCGTCGGCATTTAAGTTTATCGGTTGGGATAGTATTTTGTCAGTAGCTTTGGGGTGATATAAAATTGCATTATACCCACACTCACAAATCTGGGTTTGGGGAATATTTAAACCTAGGTTTCCAAAATATTGCATGTATTCAGTATTGTGACACAACCCAGGCTATCTGACTTTCGTTCAAAGGGCATGTCTAAAGTAATAAGAAACACATTAAATATTAACTTTAATGAAACGATATATAGATAACTTGTAAGATATCTTAAAAACTGGCGTAACTTACGTTTAATGAAACCTGCAGATAATACAATATTTTATAGCCCGACAAAAATGTCGTCTTACACCACCATTCAGCATTCAGCTCAGCCAGCAGCAGCCAGTCAGTCAGTCTCAGTCATCGACCATGGAGTTTGCAAAAATTGGATTAGGCCCATCAGTGTTGCCACCTCTTGCAGAGTTAGGGCCTATACAGTAATGAATGCAACTATAAATAATTTACTTCGTTTATAAAATTTAGGCAGTTTTAGGGGAATGAGTATGTTTTATCTATGAAGAAACCTATTTTTTTAGTGTGGCCTTGTCCAGTAGCTAGCTCCTGACGACCCACTTATAGTACCCATGAGACGTAGGAATTGGCTAACTCAGGAACTCGCTAACTCGGTCGTGTGTCGGAACTGGCTAACTCCGGAACTGGCTAACCGTCTCAGTCAGGAATTGGCTAACTCCGGAACCCGCTAACTCGATTTTGTCTCGCGGCGGAATTCGCTAACTCTGGAAGTCGCTAACCCGGCCGCGCCCACTGCACGGAGCGTTGCCAACCTTGTACGACAAAATAATCGTACACTGCCGTATTTCAAAATGTCAGTGTCAATAAAGATACAGTAAATGTTATTGTTTTTTGTTATCAATTCCACTTTTAACAGATAACTAGCCCAAAGTAATTCAAAAGACAATTAAAAAATCATGAAAAAGTGTTTTTTTTATTAAACTGTACAATGGCCAGTTAAATGTTTATGATTTCGATCTTAAATATAAATGCCATCAGTATAAAAGAAAATAATAGGATATGAAAAATATTGAAATTTCAGTTTAATTGGTACTAAATAATCCTCTACGAAACTAAGCTAAAATACACGCAAGTTCTTAAACACGGAAACAGATGTATGTTACATGTTATAAAACCGTTTTTAGATTGTACACCTAAGGAGACGTAGGAATTGGCTAACTCAGGAACTCGCTAACTCGGTCGTGTGTCGGAACTGGCTAACTCCGGAACTGGCTAACCGTCTCAGTCAGGAATTGGCTAACTCCGGAACCCGCTAACTCGATTTTGTCTCGCGGCGGAATTCGCTAACTCTGGAAGTCGCTAACCCGGCCGCGCCCACTGCACGGAGCGTTGCCAACCTTGTACGACAAAATAATCGTACACTGCCGTATTTCAAAATGTCAGTGTCAATAAAGATACAGTAAATGTTATTGTTTTTTGTTATCAATTCCACTTTTAACAGATAACTAGCCCAAAGTAATTCAAAAGACAATTAAAAAATCATGAAAAAGTGTTTTTTTTATTAAACTGTACAATGGCCAGTTAAATGTTTATGATTTCGATCTTAAATATAAATGCCATCAGTATAAAAGAAAATAATAGGATATGAAAAATATTGAAATTTCAGTTTAATTGGTACTAAATAATCCTCTACGAAACTAAGCTAAAATACACGCAAGTTCTTAAACACGGAAACAGATGTATGTTACATGTTATAAAACCGTTTTTAGATTGTACACCTAAGCACCACTAGTAAAAAATAGTAGAAGATATAATATTCATATAATAAAACGTTACACGGTAATTTTAATTCACGATTCTTAATAAACGAATTGACGGATTTTCCTGATTTGAGTGTTGGATTTCCTTTATATTGCTTTCACAATCGATATAAACTATACCAAGCCATTGCTTGGTTCACCGTTCCCCAGTACTGAGCTTCACAATAGACAATAGCTTTGTTTTTGGATAACATTAAGTAATTTTAGCTATGACCACCAATTCATAGAATAGAATTGTAACAAACAAGAACGCCTGCGTCCATTTAGAATCAGCCTAGAGACAAACTCCAGACTTTTAAAAAGTAGGCCTACTGAAAGACGTAATTCAACAAAATTAAGAGGATGACCCCGGGTCTACACTAATAGCCTACGATAAAAAAAATTTTACAAGTTGTATTTATGCATAGACTAACTTTTAATGCAATCCATGAATACATTAGGCCTACCACTTTATAATGTATTGATAAATATTTATTTAAATTCAATAGCTCTATTTAAAAATACATTATCACTACAATGTAATTCTTTAGTGACGTTTAACGTGTAAATTTTATTATGATTTATGATTCAAGGTTACAAGCCTAGTATATAAAATACGAACTCAATAATTTTATTTGCAGAAATTTACAAAATGGTATTTATTCGAATAAAATAAACAAATAGTGGACTACGAAAATAGATATTTCATAACATGTAATAGATCCAAATTAAATGTGCATTTTTATCTTTTTGCATACCAATAAGCTACTATTTAAGTAAGAAACCCACATATAAAACATACTCCCTTATATTAGTACATTTCTCATCCTTATGGATCAGCTGAAGACACTTTTATTGTTAGTTCTGTCCGGTGCACTGTCTTTAGAGGTCGTGTTTTGTTTACAATTGTTTCTTGTTTTTAGTATTTTAAAACCTCGTTTAACCAAATAAAACGTTCTAATCACAACCAATAACACGTCCCCTAGTTATATAACCAAACAGTAATGAACAAATCATGAAGTTAACCATAAAATAATAGAAACACAATTTTGTCGACACTAGCGATCAGTGTCACCGGACATGAACTAGACACGAAAAACGAGCTTCAAAGTTTACAATGGGATGTCAAGTTTACTTGTGTTGGTTAGTCTATGGTAAGACTATAATGCATTTTCCACAATAATAATCATAGGAATAATGTTAAACATACTTCTAAATATATTTATTTTATCGACTACGTTGCTCTTACTCCTAATTAATCGTAGGATACGACATTATGGTACCGATACGATATAGGTACTACACTTTCGGCAACACTGATCAAAAATATTCGTGCTTGGCTCCCATTGGACGGCTCGCGAGGCTTCTGATTGGGAGTTAGCGAGTTCCGCCGAGGGACCGAGTTAGCGACTTCCGTGCGAGGACGGAATTCGCTAACCCGGCTCTAGAGCGGGTTAGCGGGTTCCGGAGTTAGCCAATTCCGAAACCGAACAAGTTAGCGAGTTCCTCTCATCGACCAAATTTGAAGATAGGGCATTTAACATGGGGTTAGCGAGTTCCAGAGTTAGCCAATTCCGCGGACCCGTACCCATCAGTGCAAGGCACACATCAGCCCTTGCAACGCTACAGGAGAGTGCATTTCTGTCGCCCTTTTCGCTGCCTTATACAAGCAGAGAATACCGTGGTATATTCTAACTCGGGATTCCACACAGGGATATTAAAATTAACGTATAATCACAAGATATTTATTATCCTACCCCCGTTGGTTACCAGTTATGAAGGTCCTTATTTAACCTAGTCTTATTTTCAACTTCAAACACAGCACACAATGTCTCGACAACCATTTTAAACTTCAGGAGAATAAGTAGTTAATTTACAGTCGCAAGCGCCACGTCAGCATTCTGACAGAGAACTCATTATTCAGGATATAACTAAAGGAAACTGGGGAAAGTTCAATATTTAACAATAAGAAAAATAAAAATAGCAGCTATGGAAACCTTTTGACATTTTAACTTTAAATTACTCCCTCAAATTTTTAAATTGAAGTAAATATTTATATAAAATGCCACCAATGGATTATCCACCACCCACTTTAAGTGTTTTTATGGGATCTTATGATCCTGTCTATCAAGGTCTTTCCTCTCTATATCAGTCAAAACCTACAAACTACTTTCAAGATTATCGAAATGAGACACTGTCACGGTTTATGGTAACAGTATAACATTAACTTATAAAATGTTTACCCCTAATTTAAATTTCACCATGCTCTAAAAGGTTTTAAACTGTAAGGTAATAAACTGTTGTCTATTTTCCACAGATGCCCACATATCACTGGGGCTTAACCAGAACTCCCTACTCACCTCATCCTGACTTAGTAGGAGCTTACCGCAAGAGCAACTGGAAGAAACTATTGGAAACTCCGTCCATAAAGTTGCGTCTCATAGACGAAGCTAGATCACAAGAAGTAGACGACTTCTATAAGGTTTGTAGTGATTGTTGGACATTTGATATGCTTTTATATATTTTTCAACGAACACAAGTTTTTAAGTTTGACACTCCCTATAATAGTTCAACACGGTCCGTGATGACATGACATGTCGGCAGCGACCAGTGCAAGCTTCGCCAGGGTAAGAAACTAGAGCCTTCTCATAGTTTTCATGCACGCAAACAACTCAATACCTTAGTCCACATGGTGTCCACCAATCAAGGTTCTATGTTCTTAATAAGTAACTTCTTAAGGTAATTTCTATTATGCTCATTTATTCTAATTATCGATCAAGATTGTCAACTACGCAAAACGAGAAAGATTTGTGATTTTGGGCAGATTTTTTGGCTAGTATTCAAACATTCAAATTACCACTCATCAAAATTTACTACGGACAATTGGTTTTTAGGTTGGCTGGACACCAACTAATCTACGTTAATGCAACAAGTTTACATAGAATTTTTAGACTTATGGTTGCATTTAAATAATCCTAAATATATGTATTTTCTGAATTTATCAATTCAATCTACAAATTTGCCATAGGTAGGACAAATAGTTTTGGCTATTCAAACTAGTCATCTTCAGGTTAAATCTCAAGGTCATCATCAGGAATAATAAATTAGCTACAAACATTTTCATGATGACCTTCAAATGAAGTGTTGACATCCAGAACTGAGCCTGAAAATCACTACTTGGTATAGTCAAATCTAACTATTTTGCCCTACAGCAAAATCGTGGGTTGTATAGATTCAGGTATTAACAAAAGTTTGTTAATTAATTTTTACTAATAGATTATATATATAATGTGTTTTTAGACTTGAAACAACACTTGTTGATTGTAAGGTAAAGGCAATTAGTAAACGGGTTGTGTTACTTTTTCAGCTTTGTCAAATGCACAGAGATCAATACATGGATCATTCAGGCAGACTTCACCCACTGAAATACTTCACTGATGTTGACGAGAAATGGAACTGTCCCAATATGACCAAGTGAGAATTGTTTGGATTCTTTTTAGGAATTTACTATTAGCGGTGTTGCCAAAATGTACCCATTTGATACCTGAAGGCCCGCATATCATTTGACTATTGAACTAGGCATTCTATCCACACGTGTTGTGCGTACTGAGCATTTTTATCAAAATGGACATAATTTAATTGAACCAACAACAGAGTCGATGGTGTAAAAGCATAATTTCTGCCGAACACACCAACTTTAACAATGCCAAACTGATAGGACAACTTACTGTAAGCAATATAGCATCTTTTATACACACATTATCTATCTTAGTAACAAACACTGAGGCAGAAAAATGGAAAAATAATTCTCTAGTGAATTTTGTTAGAGGTACATTGAACGTTCTTTTAAAATAAAATAAAATGGCTATAGCTGGTCTACTACTTCAGTATCCTAAACCCAATGATGCTACACAATAGTAAATTAACTAAACTTTCATTTACACCTACAATCTGATTCTTGCTTTAAACCGGGTTTACACGATGCCAGTTGCCTTTGTCAATTGTCATCACTTAATTACGGGATTGTAGGAGACCAATTGTGCTTCTATAGTTCGGCCACTTAGAAAACGACCTGCGCGCTAATGCTAAACCAATGCTGGAGGAGGTCGTTTTCTAAGCGGCCGACCTATAGTTGTCTTCAGTCTACTCCTGGAGACAATAGAATTTCAGGGTAATTGTGAGGGCAGTTGGCAAGGCAATTGTCCAGAAGTGTTTACACAGGGAAAAAATTTCACCAGTCAGTAGTTGTCAGTTGTCTTCGAAGAATTTTGTCTCACCTGGAATAATGTAAACTCGGCTTTAGCCTGGTAGTAAAGTTTAGAACTACAATTAGGCTTTGCGATAAAATTGTTGGATCAAAATGTGTTCACTGTTTCAGTACATACTTGGAGTTCCCCACAAAGTTTGTGGAATACCGAAAGCCCATAGTGTTTCCCAAGACCTACGCTCGGTCGGTGCTGTTACCTTCCTTGCCTCAACGTTCACTTGCAGGAAGATATTCTACTGGGAGTGATAACCTATATAACCGTTAAAATAAGTTCCGGTTTTATCATGAACTTGACCAAAAATATACAATGTATTTTAATAATAGTGTTTTAATTCAGGTAATGAATTATAAGTGAATGAATTACAGTATAACAAGTATGAAATAAATCAGGTAAAATAAAACGCTCAATTTCCACTTAATATTTAATAAAAAAAGTGATTTTAACACAGTTAATAGCACAACAATGAGTTCGTAAGATTGATATTTATAAATGTTTACCGTAATAATACTGAACAGGAAAACGTAACTGTTTGATGTGACTACATGTTGTATACACCTGGGAGGAAAATCTACGCTAAATGATGAAGCCTTAGTTAACAACTGTAACGATTTTTACATCTTACTAACCCTGCAGATTTATAAAAATCAACACTATGAAACTGTCATTAAATCTTTTAGAGGGGTAATTAATGCAATGTTACCAACGTAATGTAAAATGTCAAATCAAATTGAAAAAGTTGCAAGTTATATAATTTAAAATAAATTTTTTGTCAGTCTTAACTTGCTATGAGAAATGAGCTGTTTCCAATGTTAGCATTTTAGGCCAAAACTATCACATAATGAAGTTAAACCAAAGTGAATAGAAGTTGTTGTTTTTTGTGCTTTGAAAAGAATCTGCTAATTACAGTAAAATCTCTAAAGAATTAAAAAAATTGAAAACATTTAAAGTTGGCAATAGTCATAATAGTTGTAAAAGGAGGTAATAATGATCTTCCTATACGAGAATCCGTTCTGAAATATAATATCTGACTTTTTACTACAAACAAAAATAAACCTGAGATTTTACTGCAATAATTTCTCACTTCCATAACTTCTGGCAGACAAAAATGACATGAATAGCAAATACTACTCATTAAAACACACATATGTCTTGTATCATGTAAAAATGTAAAATTGATGCTAATATGTATCTTATAACATTAACAACAACTAGTGGCTAACCAGTGTGCAGAAACTTTTGTAGGGTTGGAATATGAAGTATTAATCTTGACTGGGTAAAAACCTATTAAAATCGATGATGTCCAAACTAAATTTTGATAAAAATTTAATCTTAAGATATTTATATCTTAAACTTATTTTTAACATAACCATAAACCTGGTAGAATCCTCTTACATCTTAATGATAAAAGTTCAGTTTAGGGTTTCAGCTCTTTTAAGCATGATCTGAAGTCTAACCTACAAAATCTTGCTACCAGTAAAACCCTGTTAAAAGTGTCCTTATTCCAATCTTACAAAGTTCCCACACACTGTTTAACATTTGATGTATAATGAGTGATAACCATAAAAATACACTTACTTTACATAATATGTTTATAATAAAGTCACATTTCTTTGAGAGAAAATGTTTAAAGTAACACCAATGTAATTCGCTAATTTATACAATTACTATACCATAGAAGAACTTGAAATGTACACAAGAAAATATACACAAACCAACGAACATGCTTGTAAATAGGATGCTCGAACTGAAAAATACGTTGCTGTGTACAAGTTTTTAATTGTTAATTTGACGAGTTGAAAATTAACATTGCTACCATCAATAACGGTGGGGTACTAGTAAAGTGTAAGAGAATAACAACTGGAATAGAATACAAGTGACTAGAATTTTGGAATAAAATATTTTTACCTAGTTGGAATGAATAGGGGATAGTTTTTTGAAAATAAATTTAAAAAATCGCAAAGCAACAATATTGTTAATTCTAATCATTGAAACTGAACCTCGAGAAATAAATAACTAAGCTCAAATTAGTGAGGGTAAAGAAATTAGTTGATTTCAGTGCTTATGTATTTCAAGATCCGTAGTTACTTGTGGGGAAAAAAATCATATGCTAACTATTACATGAACCATTGTCTTAGTCGTTGTTAAAACCAAAACTAAAATAATAAATCTTGAAGCTCAAATTCTTTAACCTGCAAAGAAGTATGGTACAGAGGGAACAAGCTTATGGGACAACCGTGTACTTTCAGCAATGGTATGTTGGGGTAGAAATATAATTGTAAAAATAGCATAAAATAGCATGGAATATACCCGAATAGCAAGCACTGTGCGGAAATTCCTATTGCACATAGCACAAGGCCTTCCACACCATGAGTGTTGTAGTACATGATGACGAGGGGGCGGCGCAGGACTTTGCTCTAGACACCAACACTAGTGCTAGACACCACTTAAGTGTACAGTAGTCGCAGCTAGTCTGGGCGCGCGGACCCTTGTGTACTAGCGTCTTGAGAATTAGGCTCACTCACCCCCACAGCACAACCCTCAGCCGCTGCACTGACTGCTTGCCGTGTGGGCCAGATGCTTTTGGAAATGAGCAAAAACAGTCCCCTCTACACCCCCCACCATAGCACGGCTGCGCGCCCAGACTAGCTGCGACTACCGTATCATGGAGTGTATCCTCTGTGTTAAACCTTATTTATTGGCCTAAATTTGGTAATCAATTACAGTTTGTTTATATATCTGGCGTCACTAGTTTAGGTGTATAACCGATGACGGAATGCTTATGATATTCAGAGGATGCGTGGGGGTGATTTGTATTAAAAACAGTAATAATATCATAATTTTTTTTTCAATTTTAATTTTCAATTTTTTTTCTAATAGTGCCTAAACATTTTTTAGTTGTTTTAAAAATTTGAATTTGGGTTTTTAAATATCATTAATATTTTATTGTATCAAGCAAACTGTTACATTTAAAAACAAGAGAATATTTCTACCATAAACTACCAAACAAGTGACTACGAATCCAAATACTCGTTCACAATCCAGAATATCTTAAAGTTAGCTACACGGGATACCAATGCACTTGTGTGAGATGTCAGTTATAACAATTTACCAGAAGGCAAAGTTTTTGAGAGTATTAGTCTTACTAATCAACAAACTAGTACATACCAGGTTTAGTATTGTAATTAATAACACTTTAAAATGCAGTAGATATAAATTTAAGTGTGTAAAATTACGTGATACATTTATTCGTGCTAATCAGAAATTTAGGCGTTACTGAATGCGTAGAAAAATAACTATTACATTAGGTATAACAGTTATATGTTAAAATATTTCCAGTGATTCTACACTATTATTTCCTGTTGTTCTAATCTATTACGCTTTCTACTTAAATACATGATACTGTATGCGATAAATGTCACCATAAATTCTAAGACTACATTATTTCTATCGGAAACTGAAGTTGTTACAAGTGCTGATTTCAAGATGGTGGTTCAAGTGTTAAACACAGTTTTAACCTGCTACTGGATCTTAAGATTAAAAGGCTAAATTTCTCGTAGTATTACAATTTTTTACACTAAAACCAACCTAAATTAAAATATTAAATTTCATTTGTGCATATAAGTTGTGTTTTAATTTTCAAAGAAAAACTCCAAATGGTAAAGAGACTCCAAAACAAAAATCATTTAGCGCAACGAAAATATAATAAACAATTGTTTTCTTACTTAAAAATTTCTTCAACCATTGTAAAAAGCTAAGTTTACATCACATGACTAAGTACATGTATTCTTTCCATAATGAATTGCTTTTCATATTTCCACAACGCCAATAAGGGTGCAAACATCAAAATATCTTAAATAAACCAACATTAGAGAACACTCTTCTGACGACACGCATGCATACAATCTTCCTATAGAAAACACCATAACCTCCGCTTAATAATTATAACATTAAACACAAGCTCCGTTTAAAAGGCTAAAAAATAAAAAGGGAAACAAGGAAAGACTGTTTCATAAAATGTCTATGGATATTTGTATTGTATACATAAACTAACAAATACAGTATACTAAAATATCTAAAACTATCGTAACAAATACAAATAAATAGCCCTGTCTACAATTCTTGCTATCATTTCTTCTTACAGGCAATGTACATACTAAATATACACATTTATACAATGATTGCCTCGGTATTTCTCAGACTGATTCCAAGCAAGATTTCATCCTGGAAGAATTTCATTCATTGCAACTTTAACACATATTGCTTTGACTTGGATTCTCAAATCATTAGGTGTTGAAAAATAACGAGTATGATATAGATGGCGTTATCCAATATTTTTGAGGGATTAAAATTTGGTCCCAGTAAAAATTTAAAACAATATTGAAACAGTATGTGATCTATATTGACAAAAATACTTTGGTTCAGAACAAAAACAAATATTTTTGTTTTGATTTGTGTAATAAAACTGAAAGATACAAGAGTAATATAAGATTATAACAATTTTAGTGATGTCAATTTGTAGAACAAAAACAATTTGTAAACAAGATAAAATATAGACAGAATAAAATACCAAATTATCTGTTATGTTATGTTACATTATAAAATTACTGTATGCATACAATTAACTACTCAAACCTTGTACGATGGTTTAAATAGCTAGGTGTCCCGAAAAATAGTTGACCCCTTATCTGCGACAGTGTTTTTGATCATATTTTATTTTAAGAATAAAGAAATGTTCATCTATGAGAGATTAAAAGCTGTGTTGGGTTCAAATTAAAATAATTTAGTTTTTACCAGTAGATAACAGCTGATTAATAAGAACTGATATGACCGGGAAAAAACCAGAGTGATTACAGGGAATTGGGCATAGCATATTGACAAAATAAAAAAAAATAAAATTCAACTGGAATTATAGTTAGAAAATAGATAGTACAAATTATATTTTTGGGGACACCTATGACACAAATTTATCCAATGTGTATGATTTTCTACCAGCAAAAACCACAATTTACTTGAGAAAAACTCACAATAATCAAACTCGTAAAAGATTTGACACTCCAGTTCTCAAAACTTTGGAACCACTCAAAGCGAGTAATCTGTTAGTTCTTGATTTACCTTCAGTTCACACTCCAATATCTACTGCTACCAGGAATGTGATTCAATAAACTAAACACAAGACCAAACCACTTTGAAAGTCTTTTGCTGAAAAATCTTTTATTAGGCCATTGAAAATCACTGACTGTAAATGGGAAGGGGTCAAGATAAAAAATACAGAAGCTATGTAACGATATTGAAAATTACACTATACACGTAGAGTCCGGTGGATTAACAGCAACAAGGGGTAAGAGGGGTAACAGCCAATGGAGTATGTGACCACCTGTGGGAAAAAACGATACATTACAAAATAATAAAATATCATTAGGGTTGTAATCAGAAGAGGGGTGGTTGAGATTCCTTGAGGAGGAGTGGAAAACGCATGTTTTAGACATTTGAGAAGAGAGAATTTCTAGGAAAATTGAGTTGATTGTGAGAAAGAAAAGAATACTGAGACAAAGACAAAGGTGGATAATTGCGTGAAGAGAGGAGTGCAATGGTGGATAATGGAGGAAGAGGTACTGTAAAGGTATAAGAAAAAATGAAGAGGCGTAGTTGACAACCATAGGAATAACCTGAGAGGAAAAGGATGTATTGTATCACATATTTGTGTAATTACAGCTATGCTTCACACAAAAAACTCTGGTTGAAGAATAAAAAATAATGTGATACCGTATACTCTTAATAATTTGAACATGTATCTCGAAAAAGAATCCCCTCTTTTCCTTATCGGATATCCGACCATGGCCCAGGCCCGTCATGGTCAGAAGTGAGGGGTTCAACTGTATCATGATACTGACTGATACTTTCTCCCCTTAGCTTGACAACAACTCTAATAATGGGTAAGCCGTGGAGTAACTAATTATGATATTTTATGACTAAAATCACAAAAGTTGGCACAACTTTTGAATTGTTTGAGTTGTTCCATTTTGTTAAGAGTTTAAAAGACCATAACAAATTGCCATAAAAATCGTTTGAGTAGTTTGGTACAAAATACATTTTTTTGTTAGGCTAAGTTTTTATAAGAAATGTATAGCCTATTAAGAATCAAAATTTAGAGAAAAATTAAAAAACCCTCAGAGAGACCATTGATTAGTACCTACACATTAAATTAATTTAATCAAAATCGAACCACAGGTGTGGTCTGCAGCTCTGTAGATATTCACACACGCAGACATCACTTCAAAAACCATTTTTTTTTTGTTCTGGAGCCAAAGCGCCTGGAGATTCCCACCCTAAATTCAACTTGAAAATCTTGGTGAAAACAATACTTTCTTCATACAGGCTTACTATGTGTATAGGAGGAGAAAGGGAAAAGTGTTTGCAATAATTACCTTAAGTCACACTAGATGTTTGGGTCCATCTGTTTGAAAGCAACTGTTTCCTCAAAAATGTACTGCTTCAGTGTTTCCTTGGGCAAATCATCCAACTCCATGGAAAACCTGAACGGTTCTTCAGCTACAGGCTGAAAAATTCATTTTTAAATATAGTGTCAGTGTGATATATCTTTAATATTAATAATTAGTTTGAATTACATAGTTAGACACACCGTACATTGGACAAATTGATTTTATTTTGTTCACCAAACAATCATAACAAAACTTGATAAACAAGTTCCTTACCTCATCAGCAGGGTCGTAGTACTGCTCCAGGTAGGGATGAGCGAGTGCGTCCTCCACCACAATCCTGTTATGAGGGTTGAAAGTCAACATCTTATCAAGCAGATCCAGCGCCTTGGTGTCGGCGTTGGGGTACAACCGGGTCCACGGCACCTTGGGCTTGAACGGCAGCGACTGCAGGTAGCTCCTCGCCTTCTCATTGATGATGCACTCTAGGTCCTCCTGTGTGGGCGACCCGAGGACTCCCAGGATGTGGTTCAGCTGGTCCAGGTAGTGTTTGCCGGGGAAGATCGGCCGGTTGCTCAACATCTCCGCCAGGATGCAGCCCACACTCCAGATGTCTATTGACTTGGTGTAACCCTGTTGAAAATTAAAAATTGTTTTTTCAATTTGTTTTAAGAGGTTGGTTGTCTCTTTTAACCTTGCTTATGCTCATCCACATCACCTTGGGACTGTGTGAGGACATATCCAGCAAAGCATGGGGTGAGCTGATACAGGACAAGGTTTAACTGTACTGATAAAATTTAGAGATGGGCATTACAACAAGGAATCACTATATCACTGCCATGGCCTCATTGTACGTCACACGCTACCAACCAAGCCACTTACCACTGAGCCACCAACTCACCATCAGTTACATTAATTGAGTACCCATATATTGTAACTTGGAATCACTCGACTCTTGTCAGTAGTTTGAAAAATGCTTAGTTAAAATAATCAGACTTCACCACCTCATACTTATATCTCTTTCATCATTATACTTGCCAGACAAATACATTTTTCGAACCCTTTGGGAAGACAAATCCTAACAGTGATCCCACCACTTGCGTCAAAACCTCACAAAATTGATACCTTCACACTGATTAGTAACTATTTGAACTGAGAAAGCCTGTATATTCCTACTGAAACAGTATTTACTAACCAAAAAAGTAGACTACAGGCACCCTGCTCCTTTATTACGGTTGATCAGGATTGTGTACATCCCCTACTGAAGAAGTATAATGAACTTGAATGCTATCAACTACCTGGAAATATTTTCTTTCTTAAGTTAGTGGTGTGAATTTTTTCTTCCTTGCAATATAGAGACTGTTAGAAAAAATGTATTTTAAGATCTGTGTATTGAAACAACACATGCCACTATATTGTACCTTGGAGTTAAGCATGATCTCCGGAGCTCGGTACCACCTGGTCGCGACGTACTCTGTGAGGAAGCCAGTGTGGTCATGGTCTGGGTCGGCCACTCTGGCTAGGCCAAAGTCACAAATCTGCAAACAATAACAACATTAGAAATCAGGTGATGTCAATAAAACCGAGAAACCACGGTGATCCAAATAAATAAACTGTGGAGATGGCTAGGATATACCTTGGGATGGAATTGGAGAAATGGCTAGTAAGTGAAAAATTATTTTTTAAATGTGTTAACGCATTAAAGTTAAAAGTAGACATAGCAAAAAAAATTGGAATTTGATAATATTACAACTGTCCACAGGATATAAAGTAAATCAATTTTTAGTTCCTAACATTTTTATTTAATGTTTTTGTAATGCTACTATAGTTTGTAACGTCTTCAAAACGAGCCTAAAAAAATAATATAGTGTTTTAATTTGGGGTGGATCAGTTTGTCTCGAACTTAATCTCGAGCCGGCAAAACCTCGTTTTTGGCCCTAGGTACGAACACTATTTTTCACCACACTACTACTATTCACAATAATAATAATGAAAACTGATAGTCAACGCAACTTTAAGGTTATGTGAAGAAGTAATTTCAGGAATCAACAAAAATAATAAACCTGCTCGGTCCCCAAATTACGATGACAGCTGGCATGGCCAGCAAAACGTAACTTTCAGCCACCAATTAACGTATGTAATACAGCCAAAAACATCATAGTGCGGTGAAAATATTTTTCTAACATGTGCTCCAAAATTTTCAAAAAAAATTGTCACATTTTAAAATTTTGCTATACAATTAGAATTCTTAACTTTCTGCAAGCACAATTTTAAAATGAGTTTTTAGGCCCAACCTAGCAAAGAGGTAATATCGTGGAACCTAACTTGTAGTAGGAGAGGACACAGAGAAATAATTTTAAAAAACCGATGAACTGAGAAAAAAGGTGAAAACTAAAGGGAATCAACTAATTAAAAGGAAACAACCAAACAAATTGAGCTAGCTAATCTTAGAAAATTAGAGTCCATGGGGTATGGAAACACAATTAATGGTCATAAAATACAATATTAATATAGAAGTAAAAAAAAAAAAAAAATTGACTGAAGAAAAATGGCATTTAAGTTGAAATCTATCTTATTTCAACAGTATTCAACAGTACTGACTACTGAGACAGAATGTTGTCGATGTATCTTTAAGTCAGGAGGATTTCTGGTGTCTTGTAATAGTAGGCAAACTACCACATTCTCCAAAGGGAACTTTGACATTGGTCTGTTTGGATGGACTATTGCCTTGGTGGTGAGCAAAATCAAAATTTCAGTGATTTTTTCAGAATGGATGGGAATGGGGTTCTCCTATCAGTTCTTGACATCTTGCCTGTGTATTCATTCTCTCTCTGAGGGTATTTTATAGGGTAAAGTCAAGGAAGTCTGGCCAAAAATTTCACACACTAACAAACTGAACTGTGATTCTTTGTGTATTGATGGTGATGGAGAGGAATAGTTGTTTAAAGGATTATTGCATACATTTTCCATCACTGAGGGAAGACAAAAAACCATTAATATGTTTGAACAAAATATTACTAAAATAAAAAAAATTCCAATACACTATAAAATATATGAATAGTGTAGATTGATAACATCATGTTTGAATAACAGGTTACCAACATAACTAGATTTTCAATATCATTATGTTAATGTTACCAAGATAACATATTAGATGTTCATGTCATAAAAAAAATTAACAAACAAAATTCCAATCTTAAAAAATAATGCTAAGAAAACAAAAACTTTAAAATAACATTTTTGAACAAAAATAAATAAATTTAAAATAAAATTTGTGATTGAAATGTCACTAAGAATCACAAATTATAATTCCAACAATAATGTTCGAACCGAATTGAACTGAGACAACAAACCTGATTTCCAATAAAGCTGTGCTCTAAGATTAATGTGGTATCATTAGGGTAAAGTCTACCTGGCGTTCCAGAAAATCGCAGCAATATAAAGGATTATAAAGGTAGAGCGAGGGAGCACCATAAGTCCTGATGATGGCTTTTATTGTCAGTGGTCCTGGCAATGATACCAACGGAATCAATACGTGACCAACCCGTTGTATAAGAACAATTAAATCACAATGTTTGTGGCTGATTCCACTAATAACATTACATTTATCGGAAATCAGTTTAAATACCTAATCCATTAAGCGGTTATCAAGTTTGTTGATCCCTTGGATACAATTTAGCGGGTGGATACAAGTTTTAAACAATGTAAATAATTTTGACGAATAATGACTAAAATTTAAAAAATTTGTACAATACCTTATGGGATTTTTTAATGAACTTTATAATTTTGCTTTTGGTCTATCTTTCTATTTTTCTAAATCACTGTGTTTCATTTTCCACCTAAAATCAATTAATTGCCATGTTAGATATTATAAATGAATTTAATTCAACTGTTCAAAACAGGTTTATTATCGTACAAATTGTATTATTAACAAAAAAAATCAAATTATATAAAACTGTAAATAAAATGTATAACATAAAATTATCATGTCTTACCTAATCTCTTACCTAGTTTTATAAATGCCACTTTCTGTAATAATGTAGCTTAGAAAAAAATTGTTTTGTGCAACATTTTTGAAAAAAAAATCAAAAAACGAAGAAGTATCCGAATTATAGTTAGTAAACAAATCTTAATATTGAAACACAAACTTTAGGAATATAGAGTACAAGACTCTGATAACATGATTTTAAACTTGTTATTGTCAAAAATGCATACATATAATAATAAGAGAGATTAGAAAAGGTATAATGCAAGTATTTACAGCATGTCATATGTGAAGGATAACAGTTCTATAAACATTTTTTGTGGCAAAACAATAGTTACTTGTAACCATAATGACAATCCAAGTCGTATATCCTAAGAGTCCCAATATCTTACAACTTTCTTTCCAAAATCAAGTTTCAGGAAATTGAATTCAAGTTGCGTTCTTGTTTTAGAGATTAAGAAAATTCAATTTGAAGGGTAACACTAGTGTTAAATAGTCTATGGTAACACACACCTTTCAAACGGTGTGGCCGATAAAATGATCGTAGGTTAGGAAAGAACTTGATATCGTAATATTTATTATTGTGATATTTAGTAAAAAAAAAACATTTTTCTATTTATGAAGAAAAAAGAACTAACTCCCAATACAGCTTTAGGCCCTTGGTTGCAGTATCCCATAAATAAATCTGCTGCTTATGAAAAGAGTACTTTTTATATGGGTCTCAAACTGTGTAATAAGTTTCCTTTATCAGTGAAAGAGGTAGAATGTAGAATCATTTAAAAAGTTCCGGTTACACTTACTGTCTTACCAGTTAGACAATTGTTTTTACAGAATTGAGGATTTTTTATCAGTCTGATTGTAGTAGACATAACTTATTGACATTGATATAACTTATTTGTAAACTTTGCTAATAACCTAACTTATTTTACACTTGTTGTTCAATACTGTTAATACTTTATTCTTATTACTATTTATTTATTATTATGTTGCTTTTATTCTATACTAGTACACAATGTATATTTTGACAATTTACCTGCCTGTGTGCAGAAGCACTCCTTAGGCGTTATGTGATGTATTTTAATAAATAAATAAATATATAAAGAGTGTCTGTAGAGAAAGCGCAAGGTACGCCGCGGGGGAGTGATGTCTGGCGAGGCTCGGGCTATGGCCGCAGTTTGCCACCTCTCCGGCACCGGCCGTCTCGCGTGCGCGACAGATATGGACCACCAACTCGCACGGAATACAGGCTGATTGTGGAAAACTTGTCCAGCAGAGTCAGTTGGCAGAGACTAGTCCTCGCTCTCCGCCAAGGGTCCAAGAGGGCTTGGTTCCTCCACTCAGACTGTACCAAAGAGCATTTACTGATGTCATATGTTAGACGTGGTCGGGCCTCTGGCTAGGGATTAGATGGACTACGGACCCCACTCTGAACTCCCTCCCCCCCTATTGTGCTGTGTTTGGTGGTCAATAACATTTTACCAGGCCAAAGGACTTGAAGTACTACATGCGCCAGGCAGAAGTTACATACGCCGATGCTCACAAGGATCGTAGAAATGAAGGAGTTGTGGGAGCGAGATCTTTCCTTGGATCGTGAGCAGGTATATGTCCAAGTCTCGCTCCCGCTCACGATCCAATGAAAGATTTCGCTCCCCAAGCAAAGAGAAGCCAAAGTCGATCACCTGAGAAGAATGGAGACCGATCACCTGAGGTTCAAGACAACTGAGCTTGTTTGTAACTTTTTTATTTGTTTGAGCAAATGAACGACTTACACTTTTCAATTACAGTTTTACAAGTTAGGTTAGGCAAACTTACTCACTCAATAAACTTAATAGTCCATTACAACCAAAAAGTGTTGGTTTTTGTACTAAAAAATATCACCTGCTATTTTATTCCAAGGTAGATTAGGCACCTCATGAAACATAATTGGTCCCTACAGTTGTTAGGCTTAAACTTAGTACACTTCACAACCTTCAACTTTATTTTCTAATATCATCACTAATATTAGGCCAAAACAACAAGTTCCTAGCTCTAATTTCACAAGTTTGTTTACCAACATGACCATTGTGTAAAATTTCTATCATTTGATTTTGCAAATCTTTAGGAACAACAAGAGAATTGTTTTTGTACACTAGACCATCAATAACATGTAAATCATATCTAACATTCCACAACGGTAAAGATAACTCATCTACCAAACTTTTATCTGGCCAACCTATTTTTATGTACATTTTCACAATACTAAGACACCTGTCTTTTTTAGTTTCATCCTTAAATAACTAAAGTTTAGTTTCAGATATTGGCAAATTAGACTTGAACATGTTAACTTGACAAATGATGTCACTATCTAACTCATCTATTTCCTCCAGCAATTACAGGCAAAGGAGCTATTGACAATGTATCTGAAATATACATAAACCTGCCAGGTTTATAAACAACATTTAAGTCATACCTTTCCACCTTCAACATCATTCTTTGTAACCTTAAAGGAACAGATGCTATAGTTTTCTTGAATAAAGTTTCCAAAGGTTTATGGTCACTTTCTACTATACTATA